TTCAATAGTTATCTATGCCGGGTATTAAATCTTTTTTTTAAGCATTGCTAAAAGCATATCTAAATAACCTTAACCTTTTTTTTTTGTTTGCCCAGTCAACTCGAACCCTTTTTATTTAAATGTGAGCTTGTGTTATCCATTAGTTCCTCAAGGAACCCTGTATGAGCATATGCTCGACCACTTTGTCATCCGACTCACGTACGGGACTCTCGTATGCCAGCCCCGAAAAGGATTGTCCACGCTTTTGGTCAAGTTTAGCCCTTGGTCCTTGGTCCTTGGCCATCAGCTCGATTAGATGTTGTGGTCTGGCTGCGTCCTTGCGGTCATGTTTTGTGGATTCAACCTAGCTGACCGTCTGTCTGGTCTGGACTGGTTTTTCTCGGGGAAGGAGCGTTTCGGAGGTTTCGAGGTGTCGGAGAGCTAGCGAGCGTTAAAAAATGTTTTAGCAGCGCATTTTTGAGGTTAACAGCGTGCACGTGCTGGCCCAAAAGGAGTGGGGTCATAAAGGGGGAAGGGGGAGGGGAAGGGGGACTTGGCCAAAAGGTGGCGACAATGGCGTTGAGTGCTGAAAGAGATTTATCTAGCCTCGCTGTACGTGATGGCAACAATCGTGTCAACCGCCGCCGGACTGCCGTGAATTATGACGAATATGTTCGAGTGTGTATGGTACATCCAAGTGGATGTCTTGTAAATCTCGGCTAAATCTCCGTCAGGCGTGTGCTCCCAAGAAAGACAAATAAACTGCAATCGTTGGGGCATAAATCCTAATTCAAGTTTGATTATCTCCTCATAGGGCGGAGTGGCTCTAAGGCAGCTGCTGCAGCTGTCTGGAAGCCAAACAAAGGCTTAATGTGGCTGGGAGGCGCTGCTATCGGTTGCTCCACTTTCGAATTCCCAGGACCAGGTCCAAAGTCCCCAAGTCCCCAGGTCCCAATTCCCAGGCGAGCATTAACAAACGTTTCCCTTGCCTGCACAGTGAAAATGTAAGGACTTCATATCAAGATTTTGGCTTTTTATCAAGATCAAAAGTTCTTGAGAGTCAGCAGAGAAGGTTTCCACAAAGAAAGAGTTAGTTAAATGTACTGATTTGAACCATAGTAAACACACATTTTATTTGCTATTCTAAATAGGTTTTTAAAATTCTTACGATTTTATGATGCAAATATTGTTTTATTATTTTATATGTGATTTTTAGTTTCCTTTAAAATATTATAAATTATGTTAATTATTATTTTTTAATAAATAATATCATATATCTTTGTTATTTTAAACGTGTACACATATACCTTTCAATTTTTAGCAAAATCTGTGAAAATTAGTTTTTAAATTAATTTGCATATAGACTTTTCTCAATTAAAAATACGAAATTTCCGTTTGTCCTAAAATCTTACTGATTAGATATAAAAGCAAAATTTAATTTCTTATCCTATTGAACCTATAATTTTATAAATAGGAACTGTTAGAATAATAGAATGGACTTATCAATTTTGTTAAAAATGTAAATGAAAGGGCATAAAAACTTTGGTTTACCGAAATTAGCTTCCTTTTGTGTTTGTTATTATTTATTGCAGTTTCTCTCAGTGCTAAGTATTTCAATTCAGACCAAGCCCTTTGGATAACCGAAACTCATGGAGAAACCTAGGACATTAAATCCGAGCAGCCATTAACATTTACGATTTCGCATCCAGGGGTTAGACACTCACACACACGGCAGATGTTTGCCATCAAGGATTGGATTTGGCCCGAAATGGCAATTGGTAGGCGTTTTGACGGGGAACGGCAACTGGCAACACATCCTGTGATATGTGAAGTGCGAGAGGGGGCATCGAGGGGCGATGCAATTCTGGAAATCGACGAGGACCCTCTCTATTTGTTTGCCGTTTATCCTGGCCTTGGAGTGCGCCTGTTGGCCCTGTGTGATCGCCTTAGTGAGTCAGTGGACCGGAAAGCGACCAAAGATTTGCATCCAGCTGGGGTTGCGTCGAAAGTTTTGCATTTTAATAGCCTCTTAACTGCCGACCATTAGCACTGTGTTTGTTTATGTTGCCACAGGTCGGGGGAAGTGAGCTGGTCCTCTGGTCAGGTGTGGCTTCTTCCCAATCCCACAGAGATTTGCATGCTATTCCATTTTCGGTTTGGCCAATTTTTGGTCCACTTGTAGTCACCTAAAAGCGTTCCCCTAAATCGGAAGCACATCGCATAGCAGTTTTGTTTAAGCTCGAATTTTTTGCGTTAGGCCAGCAATCGGGTTAATTGTTTTCAGCAACTAGCTGAGGTTCTTAGATACCAAGATTTATCCTTGAAAGGCTCTTGCCAGGTCCCTGGCAATTATGGCAAACAGTAGGTAATAAAATCCCATTTGGTCAATATGGACTTTTAAGCTCTGGCAGTTTGGAAATTGGATAAAGAATCAAAACTGTTGAATAAAACAGTAGCCTAAAATTAATCTCATTTTACCATAAATATTAATTATAAAAATTGATAAATAAATGTTATATATGTATAGTAAATTATTTTAATTGTAATTTGCTATAAAGACAAAAGCAAAAATTTATTTTAATGCTATAAATTAAGTAAAGTATATCTGCTATTCAGTTCAGTTGTATATCAATATTCAATATTTTTGACTGCTAAAAATTCATATATTCCGATAAAAGTTGCGTTTGGCTCTTTTGTCATAGTCTCTGTACGACTAAATTTTAATGACAGCGTTTTGGGTTGATGTGAGGCCATCATGAGGACCCCATCATCATCATCATCGGGGGCACTGATGCCAGTGCCAAGTCACGTTTTCGCTTGGATTCTCTTGGCTTTCTGCGTTGTCTTTGCTTTTTTCAAGCTTTTCCCAGAGTTTCCCCATTTTCAAGCCGCGCTTTTTGTTCGTGCAAGATTTGTGACGTGACGAGTTGCCACGCTAATGCACGCCCTGCAAAGTATGCAATAAATTTAACGTTGCTGGAAGGGCACCTGTGTGTGTGGTTGTGTGTGTATGTATGAGGAAAAAAGAAGGATTCACTGTCAACTATATCATAAACATTAACAGCTTTTACTTACCTCGTGGCAGTCGCTTTAGCACTCGACACAAAGGCAAATACGACCATCTGGGCTAAAGGATGCAGCGATTTTTCAGGCAGGCGACAAACTGTTTGCTTTATAAGTTCCTGCCGCACACCTTATGTTGGTTCCCACGCATTCAGCGGCTGCAGCCACATGAAAGCCTCCGCCTGGCGAACAAACAAAGGGGAATCCCCCACCAGACTGGGGTTAAAGCCTTTCAGCCCCTGGGTCACCTTTTCTGCGGTCACTGGCTGAAAAACTTTTGGCATGCCCGTCACGTCTCGATTCGTTTAAAACTTCCACCCACCGACGGCCCGGTAAAAATCAAATTCAATTAGCCCAATTGCAAGGGAAGAAAAAATATTTTTTCTTCTACAATTCTGAAGGTGTCTAGAATTGATTGTTACAAAATGTTACCCTTTTTTTCCAAAGAATTAAGTTATTCATTTAAAAGCAATTTAAAAACTTTTTAATCGATTTATTAACAGAAAAATACGACCTCCTAGTTGCAACTCAAATAAAAAATGTTTGCAATCTATGGTATTTGCATTTTTCCGATAACACCTTCGCAAACAGAAGTTTTAAAATCGTTTCGTAAAAAATTAATAGAAGACAAATAGTTTCACTTTCAATAATCCGTATATGTAAGTACGGCTAAAAAATTCACCAAATTTGAGGTCCATTTTTATAATTATGACTAAATGTACAGTTGGTCGAATTTATTTATTTTGAAAATTTGTATTGTATTAATGGAATCTTTACCAGAAAGAATTAGAACGTATCGCATCACCCAAAACACAATATGAAAGAAAAACAGGCCAATAAAAAACCACATTATGCAGATTTTTATTCTGCCGGCGCAGCATTTTTTCGTCTCAATCTCGGCGTGGTTCGTTGGGTTGCGGCATGTGGTCTCCTCCATTGGCCCTTTTCTTCCTAATGATTCCAAGTCCACTTCCTCCACATGATTCAACTTGCGTGGAACACTCATGGGCGATTTTATCATTTCCTTATCTTAAGCCAAAGTGACACGGTCCAGTTCTTATTAAAACTTAAACAAAAATTTAAATATTTGCTAATTGTTTAGTTCCTGTTTTAGCTTTTTATCACTGCTTATTTAATATTGTTAAATTAATATTTCATCACAATATAAAAACTGGTTGCATAAATTAATAAAAAATTTTGTTTCTTACTTGAAAACAGTGGAAGTAAGCGACCTCTCCATGCGCGAGCTTGAATTCAACTGAATTTCTAAGTTTGCTTTGCTCTTATCGGTTTTTGATAAGTGATTTAAATGAGCAAGGGATTAAATAAATAAAATAAATGAGTAAAAGACATTCAAATTTTAAATATATTTAAAAGTTCTTGAAGTGATGTAATGTATTTCAGATAAGCATTTATTTTAATTCTTATAATAAATTTTCTTATCAAGTTTTTTTTTCTTGAAAAAAAACATTGGTCCAAGTATAAGTAGAATTCCACGGCAATATTTCTAAAATTAAAAAAAATACTTTTATGTTCAATCGTTAAATGTTTTGTGCAGCCCAAAGCTTTGGAATTTGCTCGTGAGTGAAATTAAATTAAATTAAATTCAGTGACGTCAGTGTCGGAAGGCAGATGGCGCCTTGAACACCCATATTATTTTGCCACGCCAATAGAATGAAATAGATAACATACTAAAGGCTATATGATAGTCGAGGCACTCGAATTTCGGTTTAAATGAATTTTAGTAAGTAGTTTTAAGCGTAATTACAGGATTTAGTAAATACCTTGAAACTATATAAACAAAGTTTAAAATCCCTTTTGAACCTGAATTAAAATTAAATTCCTTGAAATATCTTTTTACATATATAACAAATAGGAATTAAATAAAATGAAAAGATTAAAATAAAATATTTCACGTGTTGTATTAATTTTATTGTCAGCACTTTTACTGATGAGTATTACAAAATATTCGATTTTATCCAATGATCCAGGGACTCCTCGCAGTTGGGGCACGAATGGTCGACCTCCTTGCAGTCATCGATACAGAAGGGGATCAGGAAGCATCCCAGGCCGAAGGTGAACAAGCAAGTGAAGAACGCGGAGACGTAGGTAAAGGTTCCGGGCCGGGTAATGGTGGTCGTCTTAATCTCGGCGTGGCACGACGGACATATCATGTGCATCGAGTTGCGACCTAGGATGTCCTGAGTGGCCACCGATTCCGTACTTGCACATCTGTTGTTTTCCGATATGTTGCTGTCCCCGCTGATCGCCTCCAAATACGACGGCGGGGGCGTCGGGGGCCTAACATAATTTGAATGAGCAGGCACACTCATCGGCAAAAACTTTATGTTGTTATCTCAAATTTTTTTCAATAAAAGTGTTGCTATTTTTATACCCTTGCAGAGGGTATTATAATTTTGGTCAAAAGTGTGCAACGCAGTGAAGGAGACATCTCCGACCCTATAAAGTATATATATTCTTGATCAGGATCACCTCCTGAGTTGATATAGCCATGTCCGTCTGTCCGTCTGTCCGTCTGTCCGTCTGTCCGTCTGTCTGTTTCTACGCAAACTAGTCTCTCAGTTTTAAAGCTATCGGATTGAAACTTTGCACACACCCTTCTTTCCTTTGCACGCAGTATATAAGTCGGAACGGCCGGGATCGGCCGACTATATCCTATAGCTGCCATATAACTGATTGATCGGAAATGCCATAACTTTGGTGTTTGTAAAGTTAGAAAGTTGGGATTTTCTATGGGTTTTATATTTGGCCAATCAATCCGACCTACCAAATTTCATAAGGATCGGCCGACTATATCCTATAGCTGCCATATAACTGATTGATCGGAAATGCCATAACTTTGGTGTTTGTAAAGTTAGAAAGTTGGGATTTTCTATGGGTCTTATATTTGGCCAATCAATCCGACCCACCAAATTTCATAAGGATCGGCCGACTATATCCTATAGCTGCCATATAACTGATTGATCGGAAATGCCATAACTTTGGTGTTTGTTAAGTTAGGAAGTTGGGAATTTCTATGGATTTTATTTTTGGCCAATCAATCCGACCTACCAAATTTCATAAGGATCGGCCGACTATATCCTATAGCTGCCATATAACTGATTGATCGGAAATGCCATAACTTTGGTGTTTGTAAAGTTAGGAAGTTGGGATTTTCTATGGATTTTATTTTTGGCCAATCAATCCGACCTATCAAATTTCATAAGGATCGGCCGACTATATCCTATAGCTGCCATATAACTGAACGATTGGAAATGCCATAACTTTGTTGTTGTTAAAGTTAGGAAGTTCGGATTTTTTATGAGTATTAAGAATGCATCATATGAATAATTTTGGAGAATATAATTTACAGAGTATTCTGCAAGGGTATATCAACTTCGGCTCCGCCCGAAGTTAGCTTTTCTTTCTTGTTATATATTTCTTGCGGCACAGTGATCACAGATGTTTTTTTCCCTCTTCCTATTAGTCAGCGCAATTTATTTGGATAACTATTATATATTGAAAACCATGCTAACGGACTGATATTAGTTCCATCACTTCTGATGCAGCATATCAATTATACTCTATTATATTCTTAATATTCACTTTAAAAATGATTGAATTAGATATTTAAAAATGTGAAAAATCACAACCACTTATCGCGAGAGCTTAGAGTAAACTGATTTTTCTGAATATGCTTTGCTGAGCTCTTGATGATATTTGATAAGCGATTTTCGAGAGCAAGAGTATAAAGAGTTTTTGAAAGGGAGTCGGCGAATTCTTGATATGCGTTAATAGCCGAGCAGATCTGCGCTCTCACCCAAACTTTTGATCGCGTAAATATTTCGATTGATTTTTCGATCGTTATTATGGCAGCTGTAAGTCGTGCGATTTTTATAAAATTTTTGAAATAGCTTAAAAATTACCATATCTCCGAGCTCCTTTGTAAACGTATTTCTGAAATTTCTGAGAACTACTATATTTCTGAGTTTACAGATATATCTAAAGAATCAACGGCTTTACATTTTATTTTTTTATTTTTTCTCGAATTGTTTCTATGGGAGCTAATTGATATAGTCGGCCGATCTAACCCGTTCGGACTTATATAATACCTGCAACAGGTATAATAATTAGAAATAGTATTATTAATTACTTTGTATACACTGACCGATTATAACTCGTTGCAAATTTGAACCAAACATGATCTGCCCTAATAGATTAATATTCCCAAAAATCAGACGATTTTAAGTTATCTTAAAATAAAAATAGCCTTATCACATTATTAATTTTCCATGCACGGGATACGTCACTTTAAATACGTGGGCGTGAAAATGAGTTTACAGCTGTCCAAAGAGATTAAAGTTGTTTTCAATTCAATATATCTATATCAAATTATTAATTTTCCATGCCAGAAAATGGTAAATACATCTCTAAATAAAACCATTAGATAAATTACATACATTGCTGTGCCTGTCAAGTTTTAAAATTTAATTACATTTTAAACATTAGATTTAATTCAGCCATCCGATAGACAGGCCGAAAGTAATCCAATCAAAGGCAACTTAGTGAATCTCAATGGTTCTTTAAAATGTCCCCGAGCGATGAATTCGATTTATGCAAAGATATACCAATCAGCATTTAGCTATTAAGCCCACGAATTTGCATTTGTATGTACATGCGAATATGCAGGGGCACACACATCCGTGGCATCCGTCGGAATTCAATAAATATGAAACTCATCCATCACTGTCAGTTTAAGCTGCATGCGGGTCGAGCTTTAATGTCGCCATAAGCGCTGCGCTTAAAGCACCTACAAAATGTCTAACGTGTGTGTGCTAATGAAATATGGCCGACACACACACACACGCGCAAGTAGACATTCAATTGCCAGCATTGCGTATACGCCGTGTCGACCCTGCAAAAATATGTGTAGCATCTACTTATCGGTGCCGTCAATGAGTTTCGTGGGCGGGTGCTTTAAATGAAATTTTTCCTACGGATGCAAATGCCAACAGCCGTACGGCGTTCAAAATTCAAATTTTTCAAAAGCAATTACTCACGACGAGACTTTGATGTGGCTGCTTAGATTCTTTGAACTCCACCAGCCAATATATATATATATATTTATACCAACGAATAAGTAACAAAGCCGGAATGCCTAGAATGCAGGCAGATTCTCGGCAGCTATTTCAATTTTGAATGCCTACCACATTTGCCCGAGGGAACCAAAAACAGCGACAAGAAGCCCGGCTGCCCCTTTTTAAGCGCCTTTATGGCTAATTAAACGAAATTGAACAGGTCCACGCTTAATTGACGCCGTCAGCAGGTGTATTAAAAATTAATAAAAAAGTAGAGCTCAACGGGGAGATGCTTAACGTTCATTAGTTTGTATGGGGTGCTACAATGGTTTTTATTGACTACCGGCCGTGTCCCATGGCTTTTAATTAACTTTTCGCATTGCCGTCGCCATGCGAACGGATTGCGTAGCAAAGCTTAGGGAGAAAAGGATTTTAAAGCATTGAAAACGTGGTGAAATTTAAAATACTTGTAATTTCATTACAGTGTTTGTAGGGCCGCACCACATGGCGTATGATTAATGCGTCGCTCGGGACTCTGCACATTTCATTAAATAAATTGTAATTTATCAAAAGCAGAGAGTAGCCGACGAATCGGCCCACAGTCGCAGTTACAGTCAAAGCCAAAGCAAATCAAATAAATTACAGACAAGTTGAAAAACTTTGACCATTAAATGCCCTAAACCAAATACAGCCAATGACGACTTGTTGTGTTGTTGTTTTTTTTGTTGGTTCGTTTTCGTTTGGCTTGTTGTTTTTCTTATTTGGCCGGCATTTCATTGCAATTGATTTTTGGTGTCAGCTGCACGCTCACCCAGAGACAGACATGTCCAGGCCTTAGCCCCCGAAATTCTCCCACATTTTCCTTTCCACCGCACCCGACAAATGCTGTGGCTTGCGGCTTAAGTTTGTCGGCAAATTGAAAACTTTGTTGGTTAACTCGCCCTGGAGGCGGGGGCTGTAGGGCAAAAAATAGACCAAAGCCCGGGGCACATCAATACAACATTTTTTCGTCGTCATTCCCCCACCCTCCACCTTTCGGCCAACATTCCGAACTTAGCCCATTCCCAAATAAACAACCCGGCGGACAGCCGCCGAAACCAGAAGGCTCGGTTGCCTGTTGTGGCTGGATTTCTGGCCGTTCTGCTGATTGCATTAAACAACCAAAATGGAGTCAAACAATAACGAAAATCAGAGCAAAGTCAGCTGGAGAATCGAAGCTGGGAATATCCTCGAAGGTCAAATACTCAAATGGTATCCTTAAGATACAGGGAAATCATTTCAAACACCTTTACGAATGAAGAAATAGTTATGTATGGGGAAGGCAAAGCCACTTGAATTTTAAAAATATATTAATTGTTAAAACACTTAATTCCATTCTGATTTTCTTCATGTATTTTGTGAATGTGAATATCTTAGCAGTGCTGCAGAAGCTATTTTAATTTTGGTCTGAAGGTACATTTTAAAAAATATCCATATCCTATATCAATATCCTATAGCTGCTGTTTTTATTAACTTTTGTATTTTTATAAAATTTTTTATTTCACCAATACCTTGATTTTATCTAAATTATGTAAATGTCATATATATTTTCGTGCAGTGCACGCTGTTATCAACTTTTGGCATGACTGCAAGGGTATTAAGACATTACCGTGCCGTAAACAAAAAACACATTTTCTTAGTTTTCTGACAAAAGTATGAAATGTAATAATCTTTTCCTCAAAGAATAACTTGTCTTTTTATTTTCCTCATATTACCAAATGGAGACCTTTATAGGCATAGAATCGGCTCGTCGAAACACTTTTCTTTTCACTTCGATAATAAAACGTTTTTGTCAGACTAACTAAAAAAAGCTTACCTAAAGGTGGGAAGAGCGATTTGCTTTTAATATAAATAAATAAACAGTCTGAGCAAATTGAAAGTTTGGGCCATGAAAACTTAAGCCCCCAAATCGGTTAATAGAAAATGGAAACTGGTCAAAAGCCACTTACGATGGCTAGCCGAAATCCCCAACCCCCGCATGGCAGGCACTGTATAAGGATGAACTCCTCGGCACAGGATGCACCTGCACCACGGTGGGCTCCTCGTCCAGCTGGACATCGGTGCTGGAGAAGGGTGAGGCGCCGGTGATCTGGCCGTAGAGGGGCTGCATCACCCGGATGGTGGCCACCCGTTCCCGCCAAGTGTGCCAGAAGTGCTGCTTGTAGACATGGCCACCAAACTCAAAGATCATCGGGTGCTCCAAAACAGTCAGTGGAACCGACCCCGTCGGCTGGACAATGTTCAGCATCATGAGGCACCGATTGGTCTTGCGGAAGAAGTGAAACCGGATCAACTGCAGCGGCAGCATGCTGACCAGTTCGAAACTCTCGATTTCCGGATCCAAGCCACGGGCCAGGAAACTCGGTTCATCGCCGTACTTCGAGAAGTTATCGCATCCGAAGAGCAGGCGGTTGCAGGTGAGTCCTATCTGGTACTGGCGCAATCCCACACCCCGGATATTGACCAGGGTGAAGGGATTCTCCACCAGAACCGGCTCGTAGATCTCCTCGTAATCGGCAAGCAAAACTTTCTGCACCCTGAACATCGCCGTCAGCGACACCAAGTTCGGCTATTATTTAATTGAAATGTCAATCAAAGTTAAGGCTGTCTATTTGTTGGCTTTGACTTGTCAGCTGTTGTGGACTTTGTCGCCTGCTGCGGTATCGAAAAACTATCCGACCAAATCGATTATATCGTCACCATAGCTATAGTCATCGCCATCGCCATCGCCATTGCCATTGCCATTGCCAAATGCAAATCACTGGACATCCGATGTCATTCCAACTTGAAGTCGTAGTCTGCATTTGAATTTAAATTGGCATTTGCAGCTGGGTTGGTGGGGTAGAAAGTCATTCGGCATGGTTGATGGGCTAAAATGGTTGCATTAGGTGCACTCAGTTGAGTGCAAAGAGAAGTGCTGATGAGCATAATGATATCGCCAAAGAGTTTTAAGAAAGTCGGTCAGTTTAGCTGTCTCACTTAACAAATCCGCATTTCCTTGAAAGTTTTTTGATTGGGGGATTTGTAAATTACATTTTTATTAAGTTCTTGATTTTCTTAAAATTTTGCATATAATATTCGGTGTAAATAATTTTGCTTTAGCTAAAAAATTAAAAAGTATTCCTTATTTAGTTTCACAAAAAATTACAAATTCTCTAATCAAGAAATAAGGGAAATCTAAGACAACTTGAACTGAATTCTCTTTCTTTTTAGTAAAACATTTGCCATTTCATAACAATTGTCAAGCAATCTACTTATTGACAATAAGTCGTGTAAACTTTATCAATCTTCGAATTAAATGCGATTTTATTTCCAATTTTTTCTCACTCCATCGAGGGTCTAACTAGTTCGTTTTCTACCATTTTTTTGCCATCATAGTTTCTGTTCGACATTTCTACAAGTTTTCAGCCATAATCTTGGCTTATGACTGCCACAGTTCACATTTTTCAGTCCTCTTGTTCTGTCAGGGCAAACACTTTTAAAATATTCTGATTTATGACAAACTTTCGCCGCCCGTTTGCAACTTTTCTCAGTTGCCATTTGGCACTTTCCACTTTCTACTTTCCACTTTCACGTCCATGTCCTTGCGTTCATTTCCACCAGTTTCAGTTGCTGCCGACTGCAATTGGTGACGGAATATAAAAGAAAACTCCGGTCCTCGCGGGATACGGGCTGCTTGTGCTGCTCACTTTGTCAGCCATTTAATTTAGCCACGCCTGCAATTCCGATTGCACTGGCAGTGGAAAAACTAGGGGAAAACTGTGAGGAAAACTGGGAGGAAAACTGGATGCAGAAAGAGTTATCGCGCGAAGTACTGTGTCAAGTGGCATCTTTGCTGTTTTCAAAGTAATTAGTTTGAAGAAAATTACGAGTACGAGTGTCGCTTCTGATCCAGACTTATAGTTACACATAACTTATGGCTGCTACTGTTCACTGCTAAGCCGCATTTTCTTTTCACTCTTTTCCCATCCGGTTTTCCTTGTTCTCTATGGCATGTCCTTGCTAATTTGGGCAAATTCGACAGGGCATATCAAATTGCATCGCCTGCTTTGGTAATTCGCCATTGATTAAGTGTTCTGTCAGAAATCACACAAGATACATGGTCCCTTAATGAATTCGTATCCAAATGAACAAATGCCGTCTGTGGTCGGCGCCTGCAATTGGGGGATTAATTAAAATTTTCTCGTTTGGCATGTTTATGATGGCACTCTCAATTAATTTCAGGGCTCGTTGAGCAGATTACAATGTATTGAGGTTTCTTTTGGGACACCTATTACGGTTTATACTTGAAGTAGTTTGCAAATTGCTGGAATCGTAGTTAACAAGTATTTGCATATACTAATAATTGTTAAAAGACCGAAGATAACAAAAAGTGCAAGAGAAATTCTAGTGACTAAACTGCACACTGTATAAAAGTATTATCTAGTTTCAAGAATAAAATAGCTAATATACAATTTCAGAAATATTCATTATTATTTTCCCAAGTATTATTATTATTTTCCTCATAGACATCTGCTATTTTCCTTCTGTTGTTAAACAAGAACATTTCTATCGCATGAACCTTTGGACATGTGCCACAATTAATTTGGCTTTGTGTGAATTGCTCAAGTTGCTTTCCATGTCGTTGGGGCAATTAATGCCGTAAATGTATTTCATTGTCTCGATCATGGAGTTTTCTGCTGCCGCCAACAGTTTGCCCATTCAATTTAACTGCCAACATCAAAGCGCGCTAATGGTCATTGGCTTAAACATTGCCCACAAACTGCATTTTCCCTCGATTCGTGCGAGTATCTGACTAGATTCCGCCTGGCCAAGCACCTGAATTGTGCTTCAGTGCAGCAATTAGGTAAAAGCAGGAAAAACACGCACGCATACACCTCGAAAAATATAGTTCACAATGCATTGTGCCATTGCAATGGCAGTTTACATACTTATATATTTATATAACTGGTTTAAAAATAAAGCTAAAAGAAGGTATTATTTCCTCTTAAAGAACTGACGTTCGATGAATAAAAAAATACATTTTGGTTACCATTTCATGCTAGCATGTGTCTAAAACTTCAAAGAAATATCAAGACCTCCAAGCTGGAAATGAAATTCTCTAAATTTTCAGGCTTACTTGTTTGTACATATACATATGTGTTCCCTTGTTTGTTCACTTTATTACATAAAATATTTATGTTAAAACCTTTAAATACTTAACGATTCCTGCTCGATTTTAGTTGTTAGATTTTTGGCAACATTTTTAAAATATTATAATAGTTATTTTGTTGTAAACAAAGAAGCAAAGATTATGCACAGACTGTTTTGTGCAGGTGACTGCCTAAACTTTTAATCCCCATCACTTTCCAAACATTTTATTTTTTGGACGATGTCATAAGCAGTTATCATGATTTTTTGCGTAAATCGACCAGAAATAAATAATTTTAGCTTTGAATGCCAATTGATTGGGAATTTAATTACGAGTTTAACGAGGTATGACATTCCAAGTTTGGTCAATTGTTTCCCAGGATTTATAAATAAAGCTTCAAATATGAACTTTATTCAACAGCTGTTTGGTTGTAATAATGATTAAAAGAATTACAAAATAAATTTTAATATGTCTTTTTAATAAAAATAAAAATAGTAGTGTCGATAAATTCTAAGAAATAGCTAGATATCCTATCTTGATTAAGAAAACCCTTTAATTTTTCTCCGTGTACCAACATTTAAACGCTTGCAAACACTCAAGTGTGCATGTGTGTTTCCTTGTTTGTTCGCTTTATTACCGCCTTTGCGCTTTTCATTGCAAACAATTCACGTTTTTATTGTTAAATGCGGCTCAGGATAAAACATAAAGCACGGCAGTGGCTGCTCACATGCTCGGTGGCTTGCAAAGCGGAGCTTTACGGAAGCGGAAGTGGCTAGGAATTGTAGTGCGGATGTTGGATAGCCATAGTACACAATTCGCATCTGTAGGCCTCTTTGCAGTTTCTCTGTTGTGTGTGTATGTGAGTGTGTGTGTACTTTGTGGCTCAAATTGTAATATCATGCATTGCGTTTTGGTGACTTACGTTATTTTTTTCTACACATTTGTGTGTTGGTAGTAAAAACAGGGCATAACAGAAAATTAAGTATACGCACTGGAAGTGACTTAATTTAATGACTTCATCCCGCTGAGCAATAATTTGTTCTTATGCTGATGGGAAAGTACTAAAAGGAAAACTACTTATTACAAAGGCTGATCTCAGTGACTCTGTATTTGGATTTAAGCTGGGCAAAGGAGGAATCTCAAAGGTAAGTGGAGCATTAATTGGCACTCTACTTTTCCTCTTCATCTCCGCTGTTAAACTTTCCTTTACTGATATAACCTTTGAGCTGCCGGGCTTTCAAGAGGATTTTTCTCCACATGCTTTCATTTCCTTATTTAATGGCAGTGATGGTGGCTTTAAGAGCGGACTAAACCGAGTTTTCTACTGAGTGGTTAAGCGAAATCTAAAAGAGCCTGGAGCATATGCGGCCAATAAGTCAATGAGCAGGATTTTGTTAGCCTCCTCCAGGCACAATTTAACCTGATTGGCATGGCCAAGTAACTATTCGCACAACCTTTGTCTCCGTCAACTTTTGATGTCAGCAAAGTTTCGCATTTTTATCTCGATCTGCAGCTGCCGACTCACATGCACAAGGAGCAATTCGTATCTTTATGCCGCATCCAACCTCCAGGAGCTTGAGCTCCATTTGAGCATTTCGAGCTTATCGCACATCTCATCCCAAAAATGGTAACCGACACATTTGCACAATTGCTTCTTGTAACTGACACGTCAACCACGTCCAAACGTAAACGTAAGTAAGCGCAGGAACTAAAGTCGAATGGGCTGTGCCATTGCGAGTGCCTGCGAATGAATGGCTGTATTTCCGCTTAGAGATGGAAATTCAAGGATGCGGCGATGAAAATGTATTTGCAGCATCTGCATACCTTTAAGTTGCTCAATAAATCAGATTGAGTTGCATGCTCAATTTGGTATAAGTGTGCTTATATTTATTTACCTGGCTTATACACAGACAGAAAAATACGCATATATATAAGATATAAAAAATGGGCATTGAACATAAAAAAAAACAGAAATATATTGTTGCTCTCAAATAATTATTTTGATATACTTTTGGTGAGCTTATAAATTATTTGTTTGATATACTTATTATTGATATATATTATTGATATATTTTTTAAAGTATCAATAGAAATTTATACTGATTTGTTTAATATAGCTGTTACTATTTTCACTTAATTTTTACTTCTACAAAGATATTAAAGTTATTTAATAAGAATAACTTATAATCTTGAAATTATATACATTTTTATTATAGTAAAAACAGAAAATATAAACTGTTTCTGTTTTGATTTTGTGTTTATTGGTAAGCTAGCTTGTCATTAAATTAATTTAAACCCTTTGACCATAATTATAGACTTGTATTTATTGCGTTAGTCACAATTATTATAAATTATTTATAATTTAATTTCGTAAATTCAATATGCAAATCATTCTGTCGCTTTGATCCCATTTAATCCCAAGTGGCCTTGTGCAACATAAGCTTTTCCTCAACCTAGCTAGAAGTCTGGTTTGAAATATGGTGGTTAATCCACTTCGAGGATCACGAGCTCATCCCTAATGCAAATGTCCTGGCCCATCTGCTCCCCGAACTTCGCTCCTGTCGTTCTCGTTTCCTGTTCCTGTCAGCCGTGAGACTGGGATCTTTGCACTTGAGGCAGATTTAGTTTATGTGCTGGCAACTTTCTAATGCAATTCACGTGTGCACATAAATGCAATTGTGTGAATGGGTGTCGGTGCATGGCTTCTAGTGTCGGAGAGCATAAAACACATATCCAGCAGAACATACGAAAAGTTTCCCACTTCAAATCTAGCAGGGGCATCAAATTCAATGTCTGTAAGAAGTCCATTTGCATTGAATAGGTGACTGGAGTGGGTTTCGAAACCGAGTTTAGAACACACTTTATATGCAATATAAATATTTACACAAGCTCAGTAAAAGCCGAAATAAAAGCGAGAAGCATATGTGTGTGCAACATATTCCGGATTATTTGTGCAACATATTTGCAGTATATATGCAAAACGGACTTTGCTCAGAATCTTTAACAAAGTTTTAGCTGACACCGAATATTTGAGAGGCTAAGAGTTTAAGAACAATAAAATGCAATTAATATCAACATGTTAAGCCAACAATCAGACTTTGGGTCATCCTGATTGAGATTTTATACTGAAAGTAAATATTTGAGACTCTGAGCACCTTTTAATATCTGCACGTCTTTGCAGATATCTTGGGATATTTATTCCTTGCAAACATTGAAAAACAGTTTACAAACAAGGCAATACCGTATTGTATTTTGGAGCAGAAAATTGTAAAATCCTACACCTGCGAATTATATTCGATTCTTGTCTAACAATGCAAATAATAAAGGGTAACGAACTTGTATACATAAATATTAATGTTTATATAAAATATTATGTTTAATTTTTGTTAAAATCGTGTGATAACTGCCGAAATATATTCAAGCTGAAAAAATCAAGTAGAAAATGCCTTTAGCCCATTTAAACAATTTGCTTTTCCTTCTATCCCTGTATTTTAGGTTTAGGCACTGAGGCAGCTGCTGTTAATAAGGTGTTGAGCAATTTTATTTTATTGGTTTCTGACACAGCAGCACCCACATATCCAGTGCCGTAGGAGGATCCTTTAATTTTAATTGGCTTCACGCCCAACAGCACGTGTCCTTGTCAGCAGCCTGTTACTCAATTGCCATGTCTACGCCCAACTCCCCCTTTTCGGCTTTGTTTTTGGGGCGTGGCATGTGTGTGCGGAGTTTGCCGCCTCTAGATTCTTTTTTATTCGAAGGCACTTTTTTTGAAGGCTTTTCAGGTCGTTAACATGTTCTTATTTAATGCCAAAGAAATTGCCATTGGCATTTATTGCCGTAATTAAGAGATGGAAAGAAATCCTTGAAATGCTTTAGACCGGCTCGAAAAAAAAAACAAACAAAACAGTTGGCCATCAAGGACCAGAGCATCGACAGGAAAATAAATTTCTGCACCAGCCGGTCTTTAAGATTTTGTAATTGCCAGCCGACAAAAAAAAGGCAATTTGTGTCTTCTTCTGTGAGTGCCACTTTCTTTGTTTGGAAAGAGGCCTCAAACTGCCCGTCACTCAATTCGCTTTGAAATTTATGATCCAGTTGGGTGAAAGTTGTTACCTTCCTCGACTTTTTGGTGTTCTGGCTTCTGCAACAGGCGTTTAATTAAACGCTCTTAATGCTTCAAGCCAGAGCTCCACTAAACAAGTGGCCAATGGCAGTGAGCCATTAAATTTAATGAAATTTCGTACGAATTTGGTTTCAATTCCCTTTAAAGTATTTCCCAGCCCCCAAGGAAAAGTTTTGGCTATAACCAGTGTAATTTACAACAAGGCCTTTAATTAGTAGGCATTTAAATATAATACATTTCTAGCATTATCTTAATACTCGAATTTCTATAACTCAAACAGAACTGAGTGCCACTTAGTGACTATATTTCATACAATTTTATCATATTTAACTTTTACTCAAACCGAATAACTTCCTTGCACTCGAAAATTTCTAGGAAAAGATGTATACGGTGTCAGTTTTATAAAGATTTTTGCTTTCTTACGAATCGTTTAGCCTAATGATGTGATATTTTCATAAATATTTCATAAGAGTTCTTGAGAATCAGCCACTTAAGCCAGTTGACAATGTTACATAAATAGAAAGCTCGGTGCTTTTGACAAGCTTCCTTTTAATTGGAGAATGTCTTAAGTGAAATTAAATATAAAATTACCCTTAAAGGTAACCTGAAGTCTTTGTAACTAGTTCTGCTTCACATGTTTTAAAAGTTACAAATAAAATAAAAAATATTTATTATGTGGGTCACAAATTAATTTATAAAAACTCTGCTTTACACAGTTTTTCGCTTTAAATGATTTAGTTTATCAATTAAATCAATTACTTACCCAGAATTCACTATAAAAATGTTCATGTTTAAAATAAAAAAATGCAGATTGTTTTGCATTCATATGTGCATCGCTTATTTTCCATTAAATGCTCTAAATAATTGCTTTCCTCCAATTTTAACAGATTCCAACTGCCATGGAAAAAGAAATGCCTTTGTTTTGCGGGGCAATTAAATGAAAAATAGTGAAAACGCATGGCAAGTGAGGTGGAGAAATGTACCAATAAATGGGGATATTTCGCGTTTCTGCGCCATTATAAAGTTAATAAAAGTAAAAATCTGTAACGGGCGACGGAAAAGCAGAAGCTGCCTCGATTACGTCGGCGCTTATGTCAGCAGGTTTTTCCGACTTGCCACCCGGAATTTTCCGGTCGTGCGACTGACGCATATGCTGAAAGTTTAATTAATGTTGTCACGTGCCCGAACTGCGAAGATGAAATTCGTTTGTAAATGACTCCCAACAGCGCTGAATACGTTAATACATATAGGTGTATATTAAATATTTGATATTTATTCAGGAATATCTTCAGTGGTGTAATGATTGAAATTCAATTTAAAGAAAACTCTGCGAACGTGCTGAGCCAAATGAATTTGTACTTTTCCTTGGCGAGTGCTTAAAATTCAATACACGCCGCCTACACACGCATCCTGGATGTCCTTTTTGGGGCTGATAGCACTAAAGTTGTCTGCCTGACTGCTGAAGTTTAATTTTGATACACAAACAGAGAACAAAACAAAACAGAGCAGAGCAGAGGAGTACAAACAAAACAACATCCGATGAGGCCGTAAAACATTTAAATTAACGTCTCCTTCAAAACAGTAACCTTGCAAGGGAGCGAATGTGTGTGCTTTTCATCTGAGTTGAAAAGGCATTCCTGGAATGGTAGACATAAATGGCAAAAAGGGTCACACGCAGGCATGTCCATAAAGATAAAAACCATAACGTGCTCATAAAGCGCAAAAAGGCGCCAACACTTTTCATCTACTGCCACCCGTAGATAGATAGATACACTGAGATATAATGTTAGGTACTCCAATTGATATGGATTTGTTTTCAATTGCCTGCTACTTTATTTAAAAAATCAAAATAAATGAAAAAGTGAAGAACTTTTATGATAACTTTTATTTTAACACCTAAACAAACAAAAATATTTAAATGAAAAATTCTTTTGCTCTCGATTCTTCAATAAATTTTTTGTTTTACTTAGGAAAAACTTTTATTCGCGTTTTTTTCTTCCATTGATAAAGCAGGTTTTTCAAGGATTTTTATCTGGAAATTGTTGAACTCTATAAGTATTCCGTTGCATTTAATCCTTTTTAATCGAAAATAAATACCAATAAATATCATGAAGTAATGAAAAACCCCTTTAATTATTATTTTTTAACAATTCTTTTGTTTTACTTATAAAAAGCTTTTATTCGCATTTTTTTTACCATTGATAAAGCAGGTTTTTCAAGGCTTTTTATATGGAAATTGTTGACCCCTATTAGTATTCCGTTGCATTTAATCCGTTTTAATCGAAAATAAATACCAATAAATAGCATGAAGTAATGAAAAACACCTTTAATTAAATATACTTAATTACAAATAAATATTTCTTTGAGTGCAGGTACTCTAAGATACTCACCCCGAAATGCATGTACCACGCTGCGTTTACTTAATGAAATTTCCAGCAGATAAACGAATCGTTTTTGTGCTGAAACTTTCTAATCACCTGGCCAAAGATAGATTGCTTTTCGGTGTACATTCAGTAGATTCGCCATTTATTGGATTGCTTTAAACAAACGCATTTAATGCACATATTTTCCAACTCAATAACATCAACGCTTAACTACAGTACATAAATACATGCAATTCTCTCTGTTCTGGTTTGTCCATTTGTTCAAGCAACAACACAGTGATTTGCAAATTGAATTTTTCGTATTCGGCAAAGGGGTGGGCATTTGTTAGCTTTGAATTGATTTTGAAATATTTATAATATTGCAGCTAAGTGTACGACGGCTAATTAATGCTTAATTTAACTACAATTATTTATTCGCTAAATTTAGTTGGAAGGTATTGTGTGAGTTTAAAGGAGATATGTGTATTTTACAGTTCACATCAACTTTCATTAACTATTTTACAGAGTGGCCATCATAAATGGCATGTGTATGATGTGGTTTGGGCTCCCATTTTGAATAGATCGGCACTTAAACACGGCTTAATAAATATAACAGCAAATGCATTTTACCACCATCATAATTATGAGTATTTATGTCATTTTCATTGGAAATGACTTGCTGAAATTTTCAATTAGTAAGCAATTTAGATTTAATTATCTACATACATAAAATGCAAATTTAATTATATTCCGGCCAAAACACATGACGTTCAACAAAATGTGTTGTTGACTTTCGCGTGTGTGCAGGTGTTTGCCAAATTCAATAAATTCACAACATTTTGGGGCTCATTATAGTTGCAAATCATTTTGCTTAGCATTGCAAATCGCAAAACTCCAGGCTTCATTCCACCTTTTCATTGAAGTCGGGTGTTTATCGGCATTCACTTATATCTATATTTAGCTAAATTAATCAGTTATCTAATTAGTTGTACAAATATAATTTAATAAAGTCTTTGATAATTCAACTGGCCTAAGCATAAAACATTTTTGATTGCCGCCAGCCAATACGAAAACTGTTCGACGAGTTAAAGCCAAAACCTTTTGGAAATGGGTAAAGCTATTTAAAAAAGTAAACCCTTAAAAGTTACATATATTTTTAAAGCAAATGAAAATAAAATAAGTTTATCATTGCGTAAATTAGATGTCCCTAGTTAAATAGCAGAAAATAGATTAAATAATGGGAGTACTTTTGGATGTTGTGTTTTAAAGTTTGCCGAACAGCTTTGCATGGCTGGCCAAAATTCATTCTCTTTACACGGAAACCTCTTTGGTGTACTTGGACCGATCGTTCAGATCCAGGACTAACTTATCCGGTCGCTTGGGACGAGTGGTGCCCGTTCCCCCACTGCCGCTGGTGGAGTTGTTGGAGGCATTGGACACATTGCCCAGTGAAGGTGCCAGTTGATTAGGTGCATCATCCTCCTCCTTCGCGGCACTTGAATACAGGACAATGTCGTCCGTGGAGTGGGCCGCCTTGGTCCTTGTCTCGCCCTCAACTTCCGCGGCTGCAGTGCGATCCAGGATTTCGCTGCTCCGCGATTGCGATTGCACTTGGACACTCGGCGGCTGGCCAAGTTGCAGTTGGGAGTTGCCCTGCGCCTGGGAGTAACTACCGCTCCGCCGGCGTCCAGTTAGCTTGTACTTACTTCTACAGTTATCACAAATTTGATACGAAATGCTGAGCTCGGCCTCCAGTAAATTGCGCGGTGCCCGTTTGCAGCTGGTTGGCGGCGTATTGGTGGCTGCCGTCCGCACCGTGGGCCTCCGCTGGGGATGACCCTGGTCGACTTGGTCGATGTCCTCCGACTGGGAGCACATGCACTCCAGCTTGATGTTGGCAAAGCTCAGGCTACCCTCGTCCTTGGGCGAACCGAGATGATCGCAGGCGCTGCGCGGCGGACAGCAGTAGTAGTGCTCCTTGGACGCATCCAAACACCGACTGCAGATGATGTGGCCATCGGCCGTCCGGCGGAGCAACTGCTCCCGGAAGTCGTCGCCACTCAGCTCCGTGTTCATGGCACGCTCCTCGAAGGCCGCCGAGGGGGGCGTGGAGCTGGGTGGCGTTTCCAGCACCATGGTCGGTATACTGGCCCTGGCACTCCCACCATTCCGCCCATTTGAATTGCTCATCTGCTGGCTGTACTTCTGCATCTCCACATTGAGGGCCAGAAGGGGCAGGGCACTCTGCCGGTTGGCGGCCGAGTGTCCGTGGGCGGTGGCACCTGCCGCCGCTGCCACCACCATCAGGCCGCCGGGGGTCTTCAGACCATCCAGCAGGCTGGAGATCGTCATCACTGCCACGCCCTTGGGCGGAGCCATCTCCTGGATGCGCTGCAGCTGCATGCTCAGCTGCCGGATCTCCTCCAGCGCCTCCTGGTCGGACAGCTTCGTTTCTGCACGGAAATATTGTTATTATAAGAAATTGTTAGGGCTTAGGGTTTCATATGTCCAGGGTAAACCTTAAACTATTCAATTTGGTATTTTTATCATATATCTAAACAAATAAACTAACCTACATTTTGGGAATAATTATAAAAAATATGAGCTCGGCCCTTAGATTTTAGGCTTTTATCCATATAATCATATTTTAGGTCGTCAATCTTGAAGTTTATGACCATTTTGATACTTTCTGTCATTTTGTTATGTTGGTGTCATCTATGTTTATGGGACATTTTATTCCCCAGGTAGAACTTACTATAAAATCCACAAAAAAAAGTACATTACATTTTGAGTAAAAGAAATTGTTTTATTTATCTTAACTGTTTTTATTCAGCTACCCTACGTCTTTTTTTTCTTGGCATTTTTGACAGTAGTCAAACTCTATGACGCCAAAGAAAATTGGCTTGGGATTTGTATGTACATTACAACCCTTTATTAAGTGTTATAAGTAAATGCATTCAAATGAGTTAATAAAATATTAAAAATATTAAAGCCATGGTATTCAAAGCCGAAGTGCTTTTATTTTTTTGGACAATCCAAAGGCTTAGCCAAAAACCGCTATAAAAGCAGCGGAGATGAGATCTGTTTTGTAAGTGGCAAGCTGAAAGCGAGTGGCGATTTCATGCCGCGTTAAAAAGCACCGCTTCTTGCTTTCCGCTGCCAACTTTTGCACTAAAAAGTTGGCCGTCCATGTCAAAAGTTTCACACTACCCGACCAGCCCCAAATTTAAATGCGTAATGTTTGCACCGTCTGTGGAAGTGGTTAGCAAAGTTGGACCTTGTTGTGAGTTGGAATTCGGCCGGGAAAAGTGGCAGGCTTCCTCTTCGCTGGCGGAATGATAAATGGCCATTCAATTCAGTTGAAAGCCTGTCGGTATGATTTAAGCCACGTCCAGTCAAAAACAACTCGCTATCAACTCTCAAATACTAAGAAGAAAAACAAATAAATTTACAACGTTAAATCGCACACCGATGGGAAGCATACTTTGCCGCTCTAAAATCTGGACAACCTACTTAGAGGGACTGAATAAATTCCATGACGGATTGAAACCGGCTTTGCGACCCTTCTTTCCTGTAAGTGTATTACGAGCAGCCAGCATTTTTTTCCCATTGTCCGTTGAATTTAGATTTATGGCTGTGAAATTAAGCGAGTGGAGCAGTCGACAGTGGCCAAAATTGAATTTATTATGTGTGCCCCTCTTAGTATGCAACACAATTTTCCTTTTGCTCTCGCGAATTATTTAAAATTCGCCACACAGATACCCAGCACAGCATGTGTGTGTGTGTGTGTGTGTGGATGGCTGAGTGTTTGCTACTTTGTGATTGTTCAATTTAAATATGCAAATTGAGAGCCGCTTAAAAACTCGCCCAGGAAAAAACAGAGGCAAACAAAAAAAATGTAAATTTAACGCACAATTTACGCAGCCACAAAAATGCGTTACGTTTTGCGTTAAAATAGAAATACGAGTAATAAAAAATTAAATGAAAACCTCTCTGCCGGACTGAGAGCCTATAAAGCATTAAAACATAAAGCGTCGCTCTCTGGCAATAAACTTCTAGGGTCGCAGAAAATTAAAAAGGTTCGCCATCAAACCGAATAGTAAACAGCGCGATAACAATGGCTGGGAAAGGTATACCTTTATAATGGCCAAAGGAACCTGACACCGAAAATTACCCTTATTTGTAATGCATCTCTTCGTACTTCATTTTTTCTGTCTACTTTTTAGGCATTGCTATTAAGTTCCAACATTTTTGCTTTAATGACGCTGGCAAATGTGTTTAAATTAAGGGAATACTAATAAAAACAATGCCATTGTGTTGGTTAACTAACAAAGTCTTTATAATTTTCTATTTTATAATTTGATGAAGGCTGGTGTTTACAATACAATTTTTTGTTCTACAAAAAATTAATTACTTTTTCGGTCATTTTAATATATTTATTTTACATTTCACTTTTGTAATATTCAAATTGAATAGCTCTTCTTATGAAAAGAATTCGTTTCGAGCAAAAAAGGGGCTAAAACGATTGTTTATTTTGCATGTTCCAAACTAAATTTCCGTTGGAGAGAAAAGCTTAAGACGAAATTTTGTTATTAAAAGCGTACAATACATTTTCATTTCTATAAGTTATATAGCAATTACTCTAAACTCAATATTGATTCTTGAAGTTGGCTTGCCCTGAAATTTGATTTCTAATCAAAAGTTATTGGCTGCCTGCCCGTTGCCGTGGCATCTAAGTAATTTCATAGTTCAATTACCGAATCTTCACAGCTTTAAAGCTGCAAATGAAACAGCCCCGGGAGCCGAAAAAGGGAGCCCACCTAACCCCCAATTTGGGATGGATGGTCCACTTGACTGGTTCGCCCCCAAGGAAACCTCCAGGGAGTTGGCATAACATACATATACATAGTTGTTTATACATCAAAGCCAGCGAAGCGATAAACAAATATGGCGTCGGCGGCAACTTGGCGGAAGTTTGCGCTTTGGAGCTACTTCCTTCCGTGAAAACACGACCACCCACACATGTATCTCGGGTTAACCGCAGCTAAGATTGTTTTGGAGGAGAATCGGGCCATAAATCAGCATCCGAGCCTGTCAACCAGATATGCCAGGGCTCATGTCTAGACAGCAGCGATAAGCGTGCCGGTGACGCCGCCTGTCCCGCTCATTTTTTAATTTGCCAAATAACACGCCATAAATAAAAGTCGAGCCAGGATAGGACTTCATCTGCACTGCACTCGGGAAAAACAATGGTCTGAGTTCGAGCACAAAATGATGATTGATGAAGGATTTGAAAGCTTTTTCTTTTGATGCCTTAGTACAGAACATTTTAAAACTGTTTCAGGAAAGTAGTTTAATATTTATTTTCAATAGTTTGCCGGCCTAGTCACACATATTGTTGAACACATATTTTTAAACAATTTCCCAGGATTTTTTTTTGATTTTAAAATCATCTAAAACGGAAATAATACAACATTTAAAGACATAGCCTCATCATTTCTATTATTTACACCTGTAAATGTTTCTATAAAATATTATGTATTTTAACGCAATTTTTCTTGAAAGCTTAATACTCTATTGAAAATCATCACGTTTTTAATGTTCCCAAAAACAAAATTTTGCTCATAAAACGATTTTTCTTTCCGTTTTAATTTAAAATATTAATTTCGTTAGGCTTCTTACTGCAGTTAATATAAAGCTTTGATTTTTTTTTTATTTTGATTTTTCTTAAGATCATCTCATACTAGTTTTATCAAAGTTACTTGTTCAGCTTTCAAGTTAACTTTGCTTAACAAGAAAAGAATTCTAATTATATTAAGAAAATTCACTTGTTAATCTTGAAAACTAGAATGGGAATCTCTTGCTAAGTCACTTTTAAATTTGTTCTCTGTGCAACAGCGTACACACAGATCATTTGTCAAGTGGACACTGTCGTTTGTCATAAACGTCGATACACTGGGACCATTAGGACAAATGGGGCAATTGCCGCAATCGCTGGATGGCAGTGGCAGTGCCACTCCACTCCACTCACTACACTCACCTGCTGACGTGGTGCCCGCCACCGGGACGGTGGAGGTGGTCACCGAACTGGGATTGGCAAACGTGCGTACTTGGGGACGAAAATTGAATTTGGCCCCCGATGGCTTGGTGCCCAGGCCGATGTTCTCCTGATGCGATTTGCCGCTACGCAGCACGATGTACACCTGCGTCGAATCGGGGGAAGGGGATCTGGGATCACGGAAAAGCCGATACAGTCGGTGCAGGGGACACTCACCTTGCTGCCAAAGATAAGGGCCAGGAGCAGGGTCACCGTCAACTGGGTGTGGCAAAAGAAGATGATGTACAGCAAATCCGGATTGGCGGGCGACTGCAGGAAGAGCCTGAATAAATATAAGTAAATTAAAGTTACTCCAGCTTGGCTTAACACGGAAAATATGACATAAACAAGGGAATATTTGATGTATATTAATACTCAGAAATAATGTTCTTCATAATGAAAATGACATAGTTCTAGGAAGTTCAATTAAGAATGAATAATTCTGGGAACTGAGGAAAAAGCGATTACTGAGTAATTTGGTTGGGGAAATTATACAACAAAACATTTACATTTATGTAAGTGAACCGCATGTTATATAATATTATTCAAAGCTAAATAAATTAAACTCAAATAATAAATAAAATAGCAGATTATTGTCAAGTTAGGTATATAACTTAAGATATTTTTTATTGTTGTAAGCTGTTTTCGAGGGACTACGATTTCAAATTTGGTTGCTGAACTTACATGGACACATTGAGGAAGCAGGTGAGCAGGAACTCGTTGTAGATGGCCATTGAAATGAATCGGCTTTCGTTGAACTCCGAGGGCGCCTTCCGCACCATGATGCACAAACGAACGCCCCAGGCCAGGAACAGCACCTCCACTGAGAAATGGACAAAAGTCGGGGAAAGGGATTAGTTCCCTTCCGCACTTCATCGGTTGCCCAGCTTCTCTTTGAAGTTTAATTACTAAAAACGCCAAAAAAAAGGTTGGCCGCGACTTACACAGTAAAATATTTTTATAAATATAGAGCGAACATCAGTGCCACTGCACTTACATGGCTGTTGGGATTTTTTCTACTTGTTGGCAACGCATATGAAAATTCATGTTGCCCAAGGAAGAATAGCTTTTTTTTTCGTTTTTTAAAAAGTTCAAGCATGCAATTATAAATGTAATACGCGTTTTGGGTTGTAGCCAAGTCAAATGAAGTTATTTAGCAGATGGTAGCTGGCAGCAGCCATAGTGCGTGATGCGCGGGAATCGGCAATAATTGTTGCGCGTGTGTGGCAGACAAAAGAGCAAATGCAGTCAGAGGCACTCGAGTCCTTCCTGAACTTTTTTAATTAAGCCAGCTGGCAAGTGGCACCCTACAATTCACTCTGCAGCTGCAACTCAGCTAATGGCTCGGACTTGTGTCGCCAGTCAGTTTGTAAAAGCGTAAATATCATATAAATGCAAATTAGAGTGGACCACAGATCGGTGGAAAATTTTAAAGTCGAACTCTCAGTATAATAATGAAAATTTGAGCAGCAAAGAGAAAAGAATTACTTATTACTCAAAAAATGTATTCAAGTGCCATCTAATTCTCTCATTAGGTATATTCTATTTAAATGTAAATTATTGGATTACTAATTGGATTACAAATATAAAATTTTATGTATTTTTCTGATTTAGGAAAATAAATTTAAATTCATTTTAAATTACTCTTCTTTTACTTTTTTCAAATCGTTAGAAACCATAAAATATGTGTATTATGTACACAAGTCTAGTATTATTAATTTATTTTATGTGCACTTATATTTAGTTATTAATAACTCATGACGAGGGAAAATAAATATGTTTGTAGTTCGAAATACTACTTTATCTTACTAAAATTTTTAATAGCTCTATGAGAGTTATGTTTTCAATTTATCGTAAGAGGTGTCCACCCTTCAGAGCAAATTGGTACATAGCAAATTGACATTGCAGAGATGGATTTCAATGTTCAGAAAAAAAGGGGAAAACATTGGTGCTGGAGTAAAACTACCAAGGGCAGCAGGTGTTTGTACCACAGAGCCTCAAGCTATCGGTTGCCCGGGCAACGTACTCACATTTCTCATTTATTTTTTCCCTTTTCATATGTTTGCCACCAACAGTGCGTATGCGTTATGGGGTTATCGTTGTTCATTCAGACATTTTTCCTTTGAAAAAAGACAGAGCTGCCATTAAGTGGCGTGTGGGATGGCAAACAGGCAGGGATACATAAGGTATTCGCAACTTACTCGAGGTGAATGTGTAGTCCCACCAGTCGGTTTTGCAGAGGAATGCCTTCAGGTCGTCGGCAGTCCGTCCAACAACAACGTCCGGCGGCGAGACGAGTGTCCTGACCAGCAGACAGGTGCCGATGGCCCCGCAGATGATGCCAAGTCTCTTTAGCAGAGCGGCATCGGTGATTTTCACAGCTTTTGCCGAACGAACTCGGAAAATCACCGATATCCTAAAGGAGCAATCAGCCAATACAATGGGTAAGATTTGGTTTTTAGGGTTTATGACAGGGTGTTGATTCCTTACCGCCAGGTCTTCAGCATTAGAGCTCCGTAGGTTAGGGAAAATCCAATCTCACGCAGCCAAATTCGAGCTGTGCAGGTGTAAAGATTCGGATTTGGATACATCACAATGTTCTGAAAAGAAAATATATATATTTGAAAAGCCATTAAAAGACGTAAAAAAGGATTGAATTTGGACAGAGAATAATTACATTGTATTTAAGAAAATAATAACTGTATCTGTAGGTATCTTTATAATAATTAATATTTTCTTAAGTTAAGTTCAAACTAAGTTTTATTTTGTAAATCCCTACATCAGATATATCTGTCTTACAACATTAATATGAAATAAAAAGTTAATAAATTCTTGACACATTTTTAAGAGTACACACTGCCTTATCTTTCGGATGATCATTAAAAATCTGAAGTGCAAGCTGGCATTTGTCTTTCAGCCCGTAGTTCAATAAGACCCTCAAATATATGTAACAATGAGCCTACTTCTTCATAGCTGGCTGTCAATGACAATAGGTTATTTCGAGGATTTCGATTGGCTTCTATTCTCAGCTTTCTTCACGCCTTGCACATATTAAAAAATCGTAAAGCAAACTCTGCTGACAGGGACCCTCGTCCTCGTCCTGGTCCTCATCCTCGTCCTTATACTCGTCCTCGTCTTGTGTCCATTGTGTGCTCGTCAGGAGATACTCATGGCGGCTAAATAAATCTGCCACACATAAATAAAAACCCTAGTCTGTTGAGCGCCGGATGCTCGATGAGCTCTCGCTTAAAGTTGTTTATTTGGCTGGGCATCCCATTAGTTTCCTTTGCCAGCCATAAATCAATCAAATTAAATTGTGTAGAAATTGATGGGAATTGGGTTCGAGTTTTGTGGGTTGGTTGGTTGATGGGTGTGTTTTGCCAACGGTTTTCTATCTCATTTTTCACTAAATGCAAATTTTGCGGCTATTTATGGCTTCGAATGATTGAATTCCCCCCATTGAGTTGTAATAATGTTCGACAGACACTTTTGCCAGTGGCAACCAAAGCGAATGCATCTATAGGATTTTAATTAATTCGGCTTGCTATTGATTATGCCACTCAATTGAAACTGTAAAATTATTGTGGATGCAGTCGATTGACTAATCCGTAGCAGTTTATTGGAAATGTAATTCCTTACTTACCGTGCAGTAAATGAAGAATGCACCCAAGGCAATGACCCGCAACAAAGCCGGACTGGCGGCCCTAACAACCTGAAAAACAAGACATTTCCAATTAGACCTTGGTAGGAAAAACTTTGCAAATTTAAATTGAAATCGTTTAATCTGCACAATTTCACAAGGACGCAAGAAAATCACTGTAGGACTCCGGCTCGAAGTTGGATCCACACTTGGCAGGATGTCGGGTGGCATGTTTAGCGCCATTTAATTAGTTTCGGCACACACACATACAAACCCAGTGGGAACATGGACGTAGACACAAATGCGACACAATCGCATTACGAATGAAAACAGTTTAGTTGGCTAGTTGCCTTGGGACGCGGAATTGGGAGATCGGGGAAATCGGGGACAAGAGGGGAAGTGGAGATGTGGAGACGGGTGAACAGACAGCACACAAATGTCAGACAACGACAAGGGAACGGAATAACTCACTACCCATTTTCCTTTGCCACCAGCCCCTTTCCAACATTCATTCACTGAGCGAAGCACTCAAGATAATAATTAAATTAAATAAAATTATTGTTTAAGATGGAATAAAATAGCTGTTCCTATTCTCTTTATAAACATTTATCCATGCTCTTTACTTATCGAAAAACAGTAGCTTCAATATGATAGTTTAACTAATTCAATAAATAGTATTATTATTAATTATTAAATACAAGTTTTTCAATTGGGTTCTCAACATTTTTTTTTTAACTTTAAAGTTCAATGAAACCACTTTAAGAAAGTGCATAAGAAAGTGTTTATCTATTCTAAAGGTATTTATTCTGAACTAACAAATTAATTGCTAATCGGTTAAATTTAGACTGAAGTAAAAAAAGTAAACATTTTAGTGCTTTTTTAGAATGTTTTTCCTTAATTAAATGTATGGAAAAAGGAACATTTGTCTCACTAAGCATTTACTATTATTTTTAAGAATTTCCTTAAAAAATTAAATTAATTTAAAAAAAAAATTGTTTTTTTCTTGTCTTAATCCCATTTCAAAATACATTCACCTTTAACGCTCTATTTGCATTTTTTTGAAAGTTATACTTGTAGATAATTTTTCCCAGTGGATATATATTACATCCGCAGTCGACGACAAAGTTGGAAATGGTTTAAGTCTGAGCGCAGGAGACATTTGGACGCCGCCAGCTGGACTTGTTCTCTGGTCTAATGAGCGACCAAGTGACACTCCGAGTGGAGTTTAAAGGGCAGGATCTCTCCTCCTCCCGGCGACAGGAAGTAGTTGGATGTGGATGGGGGTATGGATGTGGGTGTGGCTGTGGCCAGTTGTGCGAATGTTTGCACTTCCGCTTATGCGCGACTTTATCCACTGTCCTGTTCGACTTGTTGCCGGCTGTCATCGCCGTGCTGTCTGCCGTGATTCCTGGATGACCACGTTCAAAATTAACTCGATTCTAACAATGATAAGCCGCTTAGCGGCTCAATGATGACAACAGCTTAGGTTGCCACCGCTCGGGATCAGCGGAATTTGACAGTGCGCACTGTCAAACATGGAAAAAAAATATATGAAAACAAACGGTGGACAGGTTGCGACAGCTCAGGGATAATGCCATTATGATGGTTTAACAATTCTGGTCTGCTCTTAAAACGATTTACCAGGGCCTTTAATTCCACAACTGTGATTCGTAACTTGAATTTCTACCCAGTGGGTTTTCGCAGACGGAAATGGTGCTTCAGGAATTTTAACGAAGTATTCTGCAGACCAATTAGTCGAACAGATATTGTATTTTCTACATGCATTCTGTATAAAATAATTAATTGAGAGCAAGTGGAAAATAGCCTGCTAATGTGGCTCGCTCCCCAAATAAACGAAGTCATGGTTGAGTCCTTGTAATTATATAAGAGTCTTAAATGTTTCTGTTGATGGTAAAATGTTTTCATCAGCAAAAAAGTGATGCTGGCCTCCTGGCAACCCAGTGATATTCCACTCGAGCCAAAGTGCCGGAGTACGGAGTGTTAAAATAGCTACGGCTCCTGGGGGAACCAACTTACCTTAACCTGCTGGTAGCGGAAGGTGAACCAGGCTGCCGGGGGCAGAAGGCCAATCACGATGCAGGCCAGTGCCAGGATGCTGGTGCGCATTGGCCAGTTGAGGGCAGCGATGCAGGGCGAGGAGTCCTCGCAGGAATCACAGCCTTCGGCGCAGGGAAGGCACTCGTACTCGCTGTTGCTGTTGTACGTCGAGTTCTTGCCCTAATACATATTTAATGAGAATAAGGCTCTTACGGCGGCCACTTGGCATTCGGCATTTGGCAGTAGCCATTCGCCATTCCGCATTCGGCTGTTGGCCAGGTCGACTTACCAGCATCAGCTTCTCGTACTCCTCCTCCAGCAAACTCCCATTGAAGAACTTGTGCAGCGAGACAATGTCGGGGAAGTAGAATCCCTTGCGGCACAGGCATTTGTAGGAGCCGCGCCGAAAGCCCAATCCCATTATGGCCTCGCACTGAGAAGTAGCAAGTGGGGAATCGGAAATGAAAATTAAGTGCTGACTGCGGAGAATTCGAGTGTGGGTCCACACAGAGAAAATATGTAGCAGTCCTAATTGCACAATAAATCTTAAAACTTATTATTTAACAAGCATGGTCTAAATAACTAGTATAAGTGACTTTAAATTCTTAAAAATATTAACGATTTCGCAAAAAAATTAAATGATTTCTGGAATATATAACTTGTACAACTGTTAAACCGATTTTAAAACCCTTAAATTTCTAGTGGCTTGTAATGATTCTAATTTCCAAAAAATATTTAGCATATTATCTCGGTGTCTTAAACTTATTAAATGACGGTAGTATAAAATACCATTGATCTATTTTTTTTATGCTTTCATAAGGTTTTAAAATATAGAGTACATTAAAATGCAAAAGCATTTTTTAAATATCTTAAAATTTTTTAATATGTCTCATAAATGATATGTGAAAATATGTGTAGTGAGTAATTATTTATAATCCAGGGTTTTCAGAAAAGAAAAAAAACAAGACACATTTTTTAGATTTTCATAAAATTTTTTAACGGATCTTTACAAATTGTTATTAATTTAAGGCAGTGGTGGGAGCAGCTTGGGATTAAGCCCCATACTCGCGATAAACTGAGAGAAAACGTGGAGTTACAAAACTATGGTACACAAATTTTTTTCATAGTCCCCCCACACCAACTTCTGAGTAGTCTTTTTACTGGATAGTAATAAAAGTGTTTTTCTCTCCGTGTAGCCACACTGATTTCTTACCATTGTGGTGCGCTGCTTGCACTTGTCGGTGCCGGCGAAGATGTTCAGCGGTCGCTTGGTGCCCGGCGTGTGCCGCTGCGGACACTGGTCGATGTCCACGCGCCGCAAGTCAATGTCGATGCCAGATGTGCCCCTGCAGGAGGAAAGAAAAACAACGAATCAGCAGACGGCGTTAAAAATTTATGTTATTAATTTGTCAGCTTAACAATCAACTGGGCGGCACTTAAGCCAAATGGCGCCATTTATAAACTCGATTCAATAAGACCTGTGTACCGTCGACGGCGGTTATTTATGGACATGGTTTGAGTCCAGTTCTCAGTCCTCAGACCTTAGCGATAACAAACAATAAATTCCCGTTCTGATTGTGCATATGTCTGAGAACTGGCCCAAGACCGAGATGGTGTAGGAGATTTCGCACAAAGCAAAGGATAAACCAACATGCGTGTTTGGTTCCGGCTTCCGAGCTCCGGAAAAAATAGAAGAAAATTATTTTCTTGTTGCCATCGATGGGGAATGGGTTGGCCTTGTCGTTTTACAAAGACATAAAGCCATGAAAAGGGTGCACTAAGCTGTCGACCCGTGGCCACGCCCCTTCGTCAGCTAGTTGAAATCCCATATCCCATATCCCATATTCCCATATTCGCATATGCCTCCACAAAGGTCGCCGCCGGCAATGGGCAGCCACCCAATTACACGCATACCTAAGCAGAATCCTGGAGGGGGACAGCTGGAGGTTCTCGGCCGGAACACATGTAGAATTTAACGCATAATCTCAGCCCTCCCACTCGTCCGCATTCTCACGCCGGAGCTGTGGACTGCCCCCTTCCCCACTCCCCCTCGTATTTTCTCTGGATTTTCTTGCCCGTGGCTCGGTGAAAGTTTTCTTGTGGCATGATCCCTTTGGCATTTGCCTTGCTGTTTGTTTGCAAATTTCTTTCTTCTTTTCAAGGTTCTTAAAAGGATTTCGCCTTTAAAGTTTTTACTTAAATTATGTTTGGTATTCAATATACATAGTTGCAAAACTGCACTTCGTAAGAAGGTCTTATTATATTGTAGCATATTTTAATGAGTTTAAGACAAGGACAATTTGCTGGCTTAAGCAAAAATGTCACCAAAAAAACATAAAACAGGTAGTGAAGCAAATTTTGTATTTATTTTTTTTTTTTGGATTTCAATAAAATATATATAGAAAAAACAAAAAAAATATATATACAAAAAATAATGCCTTCTAAAAAATACTTGGAGGAATGTATTTTTATATATTTGTATAAAATATAACTAATTACTTATGAATAAAAGGAGCCCATTAGACTTTTTAAAAACATAATAATTTACTTTATGATCTACATTCAATTTAAAAAATGTCCTGATTCAATTTAAAAGTAAAATTAGAGCGGCAGGAGGCTTTTCCCAAAAGGGTGATTTCCATTTCGTTGCTTCAAAGAGAAAAGTTACACATGAACTTTTATTTTCGTTTTCCTTCAATATCCTGAGTCCTTCGATGGCCACCCACCGTCGGCCATAATGTCTTCGTCCCGGTCATATCCGGTGGCCAATGGATTGGGTAAGGATTCGAATTCCCGGGATCGTAGTTCGGGATTCGGGATAAGGGATTCGGGTTGCAGACTTCATGCTCGGGATGGTGCCTGTCAGTTAATATTGACATATCAGTTTGTATTTATTTGATTGTTTCTGACAACTTATTGATTGCGAAATTCGAAAAAAAGGGACTACTGGGAAATGCACAGCGGCAGGATGGGTTTGGCTGCACAATGGCCATATTACATTATCGTAATGATTATGTTAATTCCCAGGCAGTTGATCCCAACGCCTTTGTGTCCTTGTGCAACCCAACTGGCCTTTTTCCTCGTCCTTTGCCCCATTATTGGGCCAAGTTCGGATATGTGTCCGTGTGTTATTTCTCATTTCTTATTTGCCTTTGCCATTTATTTGTGCTGTGTGTGCTGTGGTTTCATTTTCCCTTCTCATGCTATTGCTCTTTGTCTGTCTGGCTTTGTTGTTGTTGACAGTTTTTGAAGATAATTTGTAAACGGATATTAGAAAATAAGCTGATTGAGCCTGACCGAATGAGTTTGTCCTGTTTCCTAGCCAGAAATAAATAGAAGGCGACGTACGTGTGCGTCTCATATTGATTTATTAGTTTGCGCCTTAAGCTATTTGCCGATCCCTGCTGATGTTACAATGTTTGCCTATCTGGCGGACACTTGATTTATATGACAAACGCCTATTCGGAGAGCTCTGCCTAATGCCTACAAATGAGCCATAATCGAGATTGATTTTGTGTATTTTTCGGTCCGAAATTGCTAATAGCCCAAGCAAAATGATGATGCCCCTCGGCCAGGCCTGTTGAATTCAAATTATCTGTGACATTTTGTTAGCAGTATGACTCAAATTGGCTTGCAATTTAATATGTTTTGATAAAATGTTGCTTCAAGTGCAGTTGAAAGCATGACAAACAGAAATCACAGAACATTTGGCGGTGGATTTGGGGGATTCGGTGAATTGCAATTTGCCATTCCGAGCACGTGCAACAAACACGCACTACGTGAATAAGTGAAATGCATCTGAAGAGCTTTTCTTGCCGGGATCCTAATACCCCTTCATCTATGCACGTGCCAGCTATTTAAAGCTGGCGACAGCGGTGTTCCTCGGTTGCTCCATTTGCGAGTTCATAAAGTTGGTTGTGTTCAGTGCCGCGTAACCAAAATATGGCAACAACTTTATTGCACTGAAGAGCGTAATAGCATGTGCCATCACACACAGCCAAATCCAACCACAACCAAACCAATCCACCATCACGCGTACCATTTTGTAGCCTGTTTGTAAACAACTCATCTGCTGTAGCTGTGCCGCATTACGTATACGCCATGCGTGCCCAATTTTCGGTCGTGGCAGGTAATGCACATTATCAGGTTTGTAGTTTGCACCTCGCCACTAAAGTGAGCGTAGCCTAACAGTGTTGGCAAATCCACATTCTTCCGTAAAAACAAAAAAGGAAAAAAAGCTAGAACCAACCAAAAATTTGTATTTTTCTAATAATTATTTGTTAATGATTACCTAATAATATATATTGTGCTATTCTTTTGCTTGTACGTATGATTTAAGGTATTATATGTATGAATTTTTGGAATTCAAATATAATTGTCTATTTATATTAAGATTATGCTCTAGTGAAGTAGCTAGGTACATTCTTTAAAATACTTAATGTTTGACCTTGCTCAAAAATATATTGTTTGAGTTTAAAGCATTTTTTAAATCTTCCTAAAAAAGGACATGCTGACAGCACTGATCAAAACAGTAATCTGCCATATTTGCTAGCCAGCTAGGCAGCCTTCATTTTCAAACTAATTTAAAATGGGGCCCAATGACAGGGCCAAAATGGAACTCAAAGCTTTTCGAGGGGTGGCAAAGCATGGAAATACGGCTTATGGCGAGGCCACATTAAAACCATCATTTTGAAATGGTAAAATTTAATAGGGAGAGTGTTAATGCTCAAAACAAACTTGAAATATTATGTAATTTCCAGGAAATTTAACCCATGTTATGAATATTTGGATATCGTACCTCAAGCTCTGGGCAAAACTCATGGCAATGCTAAATCCCAGACTTTACTTTGGTCTCTGGAATTCTGTATGATGCACATGCAAATCCATAATCAAGCACATATTCAGTTTCTGCAGCTAACTCACAAAGGCTGGCTTATTGCCTGATATTTGAGATTTCCGTTTCCGTTTGCATCATTATGCTGAATCCCCGAGAAACGAGAAATGGGTAACAAGGAGCAGCAGAAGGATGAAAAGGAGGGGGGGGTTCGAGCCATTTTGCAGCATAAGTCAAGTAAATACAATGCTGGGATTACAATCCACATTTACAGACGCCCCTTGGCCCCGTTTAATATTGAAACTTTGTCGGTACCCTCAGAGTTGTGAGCGCTAAGCGAAACTTAAATGAAATCAAATAAAATTATTGCCCCAGCAGGAGGTCCTTGCTGCCCAGGCCTCTCATGTCCTTTTCGCAGCGGGCGCCTAATGTGATTTGTGTGCCCTTCGTCTCCGTTTGGCCAAATAATTTATAATAAACTTAACTTTAACTTAATGTGTATGCTTATTGTTTGGCTTGGCTTGGCTTGGCTCGGCTTGGGTTGGCTTTTCCGCCAGTGAACCTGCATATTTCATGCAATTAAGAAAAATGAGGCAGCTACACACACCGCATAGCAAATTAAATTAATTAGCAAGTTTCCGCCACGCTCCTCGTTTAGTAATCTCTTATTTTTTTTGTGCTTTCTGCTTTCGCCACAACGTAAACAAATTAATTTTGCCAACTAATGGGAAACTGATAGCAGCACATTATTAACATGAGCCGGACACGGACATGGTCGGGAAAGTGGCATCCTGCGTCCATCGGGGGTCGCCCCCTTGCGCCCATAGCCACGGAGCTCCTGCTCCTGGTGAACTTTGACCCCCCCTCCGTAAGCCGCCGAAACAAATGAGCTTTGTTTGACGTGGTCCTGCTGCCGGACTGCATTCTGTTCCGACCATTCTAACCATTCTTACTGTGCAGCCGCCACGCGGTCCCAGCTAGAATGAACTAACGAACTTTTAACATTTGCCCATTAATTGCGCCAGTCCTCTACAGTGGAAAATGCGGGCCCAATGGGCACAAAAAGGCAGAGAAAAACACTGCAATTGCTAGATTATTATTTTTTTGATTCAAAAATATTCTTAGATGCTTGCCAGAAATATTTTAATATAAAACCTATTTTAAAAGACGAGAGAATATGTCCAAATCTTTGAAATCGTTATGAAAAAAATATTTCGCAATTTTTTTTAGTTTTTATAGTATTATGTGCAGATGTAGATTTAATATAATAAATAAATAGTACGATATTTCGCAAAGTGATTTTTGAACTTAAGTGGTTTTTGAACTGAGACTACATAAGGATTCTTGAGCTGAAGACCTAGTTTTGACCGGAGGTCATAAATGCGAAGTATTTGGCAATGAATAAGTATTTTATTAAAAACATAACGTCAGCAAATGTTTAGAGTATTTTATATTTAATCACTACCTTTGTGGACGATAAAACGGGACCAAATATGAGCTTTAAAATCTTGGAAATTAGCAGATGTTACACATAAAAACAAGCTACTTCTTCTCTAAGTGTCCCTAAAAAAGATCTCTGGAGGAATTAGAGGATTAGCAAAATTCCTCCCTCCCACAATAGCTTTATCTTTTGGCCGACCCACAGTGCCACCATCCACTTGGGCGGGCCAAATTTATGTTGCAACTAATTGCAGGCAGTTGCCGAGCTTCCGCCAGCGGCAGACAGTTTCCTTTGCTTTTCCATTGAGGTTCTGTCCCCGAGAGCAGCCTCCGAAGTCCTGACCCTCTGACCGTGGAAAGTCATCGAACATTAAGTAGGCATGTGTGAGGGGTTCCAACTTTATAATTGATTGCTTTAATTAAATTTTGAAAGCGCTGTCTAACAGCCCACCTGCCAGCGGAAATAGCTCTGAAAATGAGTAGTCCTGGGATACCCGTGTGTAATTAAATTTTAAACGCTTACTTAGGCCGAAGTGAACTGCTTGCAATAATTACGGAAGCCATTAGGCAAGCTCTCGAAACGAGCGGAAAACTGTTTGAAAAATCTCCACACAGATATGTTCTTCCCATTGGTGCAGTTGATTATACTTTCCCTTGGGGTAACAGCCACGTGGGCCTCTTTGTTTCAGATCGATTGGCCGAAACGAGAGTTGGATTGGTGGCAGAAACAGTACTACCAGTCGTCTTGTGAGTTTTTCAAAGTGATTTAAGCAATATATTTACCTTTAACTTGAACTATAAAGTGAAGTGTATAATCAAAACATTATTTACAACGTTAAACACTTACAAATTAGTTCAATTTAAAGTATCTCATCATTAGAAGTCGTATTATATGTAAAACCATTTTATTAACATTTAATTCTTTGCAATGCCTAATTGGACACGATTTTTTTTTCATAAAATCATAATTAGGTAGGGCTTTTAACTTGTCATGATTTTTTGTAAAATATTTTAGCTTATTTAAAGACAGTTTGGCATATTTAAAATATGATTTTACCAATAATTCGACGGCTACTTAACTTAAATTGAGTTTTTGATATAAATAAAACCAATTAGTGCAATGCAATATGCGCAATATTTATCTGTATCCGTGCCATTTCCATATCGATTGATTTAAAATCTTTTCAACTGGCCCTTAAAAGCCTGCATTGAAATGTGTTATTGATTTTAAAAGCCCCAGTCAAAAGCTAATTAATTTAATTAAAAACCTTTATCCAGGGAAGCAAAGACTGCGATTTACGACTACCCCCAGACCAGGAGCCACTCCCGAATGGTATGAGACCCGATTGGTATACCCCTGCTATTGTTATAAGCCATCTCTCAATGGATTGGCCACTGCCAGTCCGGTTGAGAAGCGAATCATTGAGCCCAAGGAGCTGTTCTTCTTAAATAAGTAGTGTAGTATTTTTAATCAAGAATTTACCATCAATCAAAAAGAATTTAAGAAATATTAAACAGCTATTTTTATTGGACGACTAACAAAACTCGTTAAGTATGCCGTTTTTCCCTGCACACTAAATATTAAGAAATCCCAGGACTTAAATCATGGCTGGAGCTTGTGATTATTCCCTGACGCTTTTCAGACAAGAAGCAGATAAACTTCACGCAGCCGTCTCCCTTCTATCCAACTAGTCAAAAGCAATTTCAGTTGGTCGAAAAACAAAAGCCACGTAATCCTGGGCACTCCCCACCGACACTTATTCAGCCACTAAGTGAAAATAGTTTGCTAGCCAAAATGTGCTTTTGCTTGTGCTTCTGCAATCTGCTGTCTGTTTTGCTGTTGTCTGCTGCCAGCCATTGATAATTGCGAATTATGGATGAAGTAGAGTGGAAATGCAGACGGCAAACGATGGTTGGCTGCCACGCCCCCTTTTCACAAGCGTGGGCGTGGGCCCAGTGCGGCGTTTTGTCATAAATATCAAAAGGGGTTTTCATTTAGCAGCTGCCATTAGGTTGATGGCTTTCACGTTAAAAAGCGCTCGTTTTATAACTATAATTCTGGGAAATATTTAATACTTCCTTTAATCGTAATTGACTTCCTGGAAATAAATAAACAGGCTCTGAGCTAAATAATTACTTGAATCTGTTGCACGCTAATTCTGGGAAATTCTTGGATAACAGAAACAGCTTCTAAACTTATGTCAGTTCCTGGAAATATTTAACTTGGTATTTAATCTTATTAAACCTTGCACTTAAGGGAGTTTAGTTCTTTAAACTATTTAAATGCAAGAACGACGGAAGAGACTTAAAAATATTTATTAAATGGGGGAAAATAAGACTCCACAAAAAACCAGCTATAAACTTATTGATCTGAAAGGCAACATCAACGAAATTCTCTTTAAGCTACATAACTGGTTCATTGATTTCTTTTTACGCTTCCTGTTAACTTGGCAGCAACATTCAATTGAAAAACTTCCAAAGAGCCGGGAATCATAAAAACTATTTTGAACAAAAAAGAAAACAAAGAGAAAATTATTTAAAACAAAAAAGGCCCGTATAGAGGGAAAAAAGGAATATGAAAAGATAGCACGTTATAAAGTTTCATAAGATGTTGTGCTTTTTTTAAAGGACTTTCTTTTTTAGTCCGATGCGTGAGCGGAATTCGGTATCAGTCGATGTTGGGGAAAAGCCCTAAAACTTAAACTCAGTTGTTGGCACATCGCACGTGCCACACTAGAGCGAAACCCGACAACACTGGCCAACAGCAGCCATTCAGCTATTCAATTACTTTTCCCGTTTCTAGACAAAAGCCAAAAACTGGCACTCGCTCGTTTTTCCCGGCTTTTCCGTCTTTTCCGACTTTTCCCACCGTTCTTCTGTCGCTGGCAGCAGCGGGTGCTGGCTGGGAAAACTGCTCTGTTGGCACTTAGCGCACCATTGCAGTTTTCTTTCAAATTTCCCATGCTGCGAATTATTTATAAAATGCTCATCTGGTGGCATCCGTCATGTGCATGTTCTTGTACACTTGTGCAGGCGCCATTGTAACCCGTGCACGGAAAAAATTCAATCACTCATATCAATCGATCAAGGCTAATGAAAATACGATAATAATAATATTATATAATAAATGTCAATACAAAGTGTGCATATTTTGGTAGCCTTGAAATATTTATTTTAGAACTCCGAATAATTTATTGAACTCTCATGTTAGGGATTGTTCATAAGTCTTCATGATATATGATGATACATATATTTATACCATTTTGTAGTGTTAGAAAGACAAGTAATAAATACTTATTAAAATAATATAATTTTCTTTCCCTTATAGTAAAATTATTTAATACTTTTGAGACTGTAACACTAGTTTGATTATTACCATGATGATAATGGCCACATAAAATTCCTTTAAAATGATTTATTTCTTAAGATCGAGATATATTTTAATAATATTCTTCGGTGTATATGCCTGAAAATTAATATGTATTTTCCTCTTTTACTCACTTGAAGTGATAGGTGCCGTTCTCATAGCCAAAGAACGGCACCGTGTAGGTCAGCATCCAAATGTTGCCGCCGCCGCAGTCGTAATAGGGTTTTGACCATCTGCCGTCCTCATATTTCACAGCCAGCGTGTCGTCCTCGATTCGCTCCTCCGTTCGGTTCGAGTAGAGATGAAAGGCTGCAACAGAAGGGTTTCAATAGCGTTATCCATTATGCAAACCGTAATTAGAGGACCCAGAAATCGATAAACCTTTCACGGCAGTCAGCAGCTCTGCGACTCAGCGAGCTGCGCAGTGCACCCCCAGGGGTACACAGTGAGAAATCGGAGGGGGCTTTTCTACAAGCTCAAAAAATATAATTTTATTGGACTTTGGAAAGAGTGGTTTGTTCTTAAGCTTAGAAGTTATCTAATATGTTGAAGAAAACTTTAATTGAAATAGTAAAATAAATTTAGCTTTCACCGACGAAATTCCTTCTTATAATTATATCACTTATTTCTGCATTTATTGCCACAAAAGTTAGAAATTCATTTTTCTGAGTGTTTCACCTTGATAATTTGCATTGCCTAAGCCAATCCTGCGACTAATGACTTTATAAGTGCAAACTCGTGGCCTTGGATGACTCGGGATTTCCCCGATGAATAAACCAAAAATGACAAGACATTAAAAACAAATCAGGGAATGCAAGATTGCTATATAAAACCCCCTTTGGAAGGGAATCCCCAGTATAGAAGTTTTAAAGCCGACCAAGTGAGATGAAGAAGCCGCTCTTTGAACGCCTGCAAGTAGCTCCTCTTGACCAACGGGTCAGTTCATTAGATGCCAGTGACTACTATTATCGCACCGCATTTGTTTTGGGTTGGAGTCCGCCCAAGGAGGATTGGTCCAGGAGGATCTACTCCTTGTGGACCGGGATTACGATGTGGCTGGGCCTGGTGTATCTACCGCTTGGACTAACCCTCACCTATGTGAAGCACTTCGATAGGTTCACACCGACCGAGTTTCTGACTTCCCTGCAGGTGGACACTAACTGCATTGGAAATATAGTCAAGAGCATTGCCACCTTTTCCCAGATGTGGCGATTTAGGAAGATGATCGAACTGATTGCTCCTCTGGACAAGAGATGTGTCACCCAATCGCAGCGACAGATACTCCATGATATGGTGGCACGGACAAATCTCATTGTGTTCATCTTCGTGTCGACATACATAGGTTTTTGTTCATTGAGCCTCTTGACCGCGGTTTTTGCGGGCAAGGCTCCGTGGCAGTTGTACAATCCATTTGTGGACTGGAAGAGTGGCCATTGGCAACTGTGGGTGGCCTCCATCCTGGAGTACTTTGTCCTCTGCATTGCAACGATGCAGGAATTGCTATCCGATACCTACGCCGTAGTCTTCATATCCTTGTTTCGGGGTCATCTGGCCATTCTTAAGGATCGTATCGAGAATTTGCGGCAGGATCCGGAGTTGAGTGAGGAGGAGAACTACAAGCGGTTGGTGGCCTGCATCCAGGATCATCGCACCATCATTCAGTAAGACAGGCTTCGCCAATGATTGTATTTTATTATTTAAATATACAATTTTCAGATGTTCTCAAATTATAAGACCCATCTTATCGATCACCATCTTTGCGCAATTTATGCTAGTTGGCATTGTTCTGGGACTGGCTGCCATCAGCATTCTATTTTTTCCGAATACCATCTGGACGATCATGTCGAATGTGGCATTTATGCTGGCCATTTGCATGGAATCCTTTCCGTGTTGCATGCTCTGCGAATATCTGATCGCAGATTGCAGCAATCTCAGCAATGCAGTTTTTCACTCAAATTGGATTAATGCAGAGAGACGGTACAAATCGGCGGTTATTTATTTTTTGCACAGGGTTCAGCAACCCATTCAGTTTACAGCCGGCTTTATTTTTCCCATTTCGGTGCAGAGTAACGTGGCCGTGGCCAAGTTTGCCTTTAGTATCATAACAATTGTCAATCAAATGAATCTGGGCGAGAAGTTCTTCAATAACGGGCCAAATGGGGAACTAGACCTTTAAAGTGCAATGCAAAGAGAAGTTGCAAAACTAATATTTGCATCTCGACACTTTCACAATGTAGCATCCCCCAGTGCTTGCACACGCACTAAACTTTGTAGAAGTGGGTATACACTTAAGGATTTCAAGCATCTTAGAGCCATCTTCATGCACTCAGAAACAGAATCAAGTAGTTCGCGCTTGAATCTAGCATATTAAGTATCAAAAGTTTATGAACTTGAGAATCCAAAGTGGGATTTTGGTCAATTTATTACATTTTCATTCATTTGCATAGTGCAAATATCTTTTGAATTCAATAAATAAAATTCAAAATATATAAAATACATGTTGCTCTCTTTTTAAGGAAATTAACGAGAACGATTACTTTTTGTTTTTATACCCTTGCAGAGGGTATTATAATTTCAGTCAAAAGTTTGCAACGCAGTGAAGGAGACATTTCCGACCCTATAAAGTATATATATTCTTGATCAGCATCACCAGGAGAGTCGATCTAGCCATGTCCGTCTGTCCGTCCGTCTGTCCGTCTGTCCGTCTGTCCGTCCGTCCGTCCGTTTCTACGCAAACTAGTCCCTCAGTTTTAAAGCTATCTGCTTGAAACTTTCCCAAAAGTTGTCTTTCTATTGCAGGTAGTATATAAGTCGGAACGAGCCGGATCGGGCGACTATATCATATAGCTGCCATATAACTGAACGATCGGAAAAGCCATAACTTTGGTGTTTTTAAAGTTAGGAAGTTGGGATTTTATATGGGTTTAATATTTGGCCAATCAATCCGACCTACCAAATTTCATAAGGATCGGCCACCTATATCCTATGGCTGCCATATAACTGTTTGATCGGAAATGCCATAACTTTGGTGTTTGTTAAGTTAGGAAGTTGGGATTTGCTATGGGTTTTATATTTGGCCAATCAATCCGACCTACCAAATTTCATAAGGATCGGCGGACTATATCCTATAGCTGCCATATAACTGAACGATTGGAAATGCCATAACTTTGGTGTTTTTTAAGTTAGGAAGTTGGGATTTTTTATGAGTATTAAAAATGCATCATATGAATAATTTTGGAGAATATAATTTACAGAGTATTCTGCAAGGGTATATTAACTTCGGCTCCGCCCGAAGTTAGCTTTCCTTTCTTGTTTATGTTTAAATTATGTTCTGTGCTGTATTCATACAAAATTCTACCTGCCAATAACTACAACGAGACTTCTTCTTTTTTTGAGTGTAGTAATGTGGGTATGGTCGGGTAAAGAAATTAAATCAAGTATCTGCATAATCCCCCTTTTCTGCAGTTTGAAACGTTCTTTTTGGTTTATATCGATATTAAGTTGCATTCGAAAGATAATAGCAATATTGGTTGTTGCTATGCTAGTTTAATAGGAACTTTAAAAACATAATGAAAAGATTTTATTTGTAAGCATTTTCATTGCCTTTAACCATTAGTTCGCATTTAATTTTATTTGCACGCTTGTTCATTGCACTTAACATCTTTAATTTAAGTTCAGAACGGTTTAATAATGGTTTAAGTAAATTTAAGGGATTGCAGACAATTTGCCCTGAAACACACTTAATTTACACACTCCCATTAAAAGTTAAATTCAGCTGACAATTCTTGATTGATTTATTAACAAATGCCCCCAACAATTAACTATTAACCTGCGTAGCCTGCTCGCGCCTCAATAATAAATCCCCTTTAGCACTTAACACCTGACATGTGGTGGTTGGGTCTAATTACAGGCCACAAAACGATGGGGCGTGGCTTCGACCAGGGAATCGAGCACCTGTCCAATTATCGGGGCGTGGGTGAGGGTATAAAATGCAGGTGCGAGGACTGCCCCGTTTAGTAAACATGGTGCTGTTCGAGCTGATTCACCCCGCTCCATTGACAGAGAAAGTGCAATCCCGCCAGGGGAATGTATATCTGTACAGGGCCATGTGGCTAATTGGCTGGATACCGCCGAAGGAGGGTCTCCTGCGGTACGTGTACCTCTTCTGGACCTGTGTGCCCTTCGCCTTCGGGGTATTCTATCTGCCCGTCGGCTTCATCATCAGCTATGTGCAGGAGTTCAAGAACTTCACGCCCGGCGAGTTCCTCACCTCGTTGCAGGTGTGCATCAATGTGTATGGCGCCTCGGTGAAATCAACTATCACCTACATATTCCTCTGGCGATTGCGGAAAACGGAGATGCTATTGGATGCATTGGACAAGAGGCTGGATAGCGATAGCGATCGCGAGAAGATACACAATATGGTGGCCCGGTGCAATTATGCCTTCCTGATCTACAGTTTCATATACTGCGGTTATGCGGGATCCACTTTCCTTTCCTATGCACTGAGTGGTCGTCCTCCTTGGTCGGTCTATAATCCATTTGTGAACTGGCGCGATGGCCTGGGCAGCCTGTGGATCCAGGCGATATTCGAGTACATCACCATGTCCTTTGCCGTACTGCAGGATCAGCTATCCGATACGTATCCCCTGATGTTCACCATTCAGTTTCGAGCGCACATGGACATACTTAAAGATCATGTGCGAAATCTAAGAATGAATCCGGAGCGAAGTGAGGCCGATAACTATCAGGATCTGGTAAACTGTGTCATGGATCACAAGATGATCTTGAGGTGGGTATACCCTCTGTACTATTATATCAACGTTTTATAAGTAATACTTATTTTAAAGATGCTGTGATATGATTCGACCCATGATATCCCGCACCATCTTCGTGCAATTCGCACTGATTGGTTCTGTTTTGGGTCTGACTCTGGTCAATGTGTTCTTTTTCTCGAACTTCTGGAAGGGCGTGGCCTCACTCCTGTTCGTCATCACCATCCTGCTGCAGACATTTCCCTTCTGCTACACCTGCAATCTGCTAATTGACGACGCCCAGGAGTTGGCCAACACGATTTTCCAATCCAACTGGGTGGATGCAGAGCCGCGTTACAGGGCCACTTTGGTGCACTTTATGCACCATGTCCAGCAGCCGATTATTTTCATAGCAGGAGGCATATTTCCCATCTCCATGAACAGCAACATAAGCGTGAGTTGGAGATACAACCTTCCTCCTTTGACCCATTTTCATACATTTAATCGAAATTTAGGTGGCCAAGTTCGCCTTCAGCATCATTACAATAGTGCGACAAATGAATCTGGCCGAGCAGTTCCAGTAAAATTAGCTCACAAAAATGATTTCGAATTATCCCACACACAGAAGTCCCAAAAAAGAGGCCCCCCAGCTATTCTTTATACCCGTGATTTGCATAAAATGTGTATATGTTGTGGCTTATCTCATAAGATTTTGGCTGATTTAGTTGGTAAATGGTAATGGCCATGGCAAAGGATGTGAAAGTCAAACTAAATTTGCAAATTGCGTAGCAGACGGAAATTACAACAGCCAGACGTCGACGAGTGTAACAACAAGCAGTCTGAGCAAAATGGGCTAAAGGCTCGCAAAATATTTCACTCGGGGAAAAACGAGGAGGAGGATGAGGATGAAGCAACCACAGGAAGTACATATAACCGTTTACATATTGTATGCGATTTTTATTTAAATTTTATGTTAAACACGTGACTTGTAACCAGCCAAAAGGCGGAGTAGGAAAATAATAATATAAAACGGATCGCCCAGACTGTGGCAAAAGCAAATATTATGACATATTTTTGCGGTTTACTTGCCGCACACGCGTCATCATATCCCCCACAAAACGAATGTGCCACGCTGGAGTCCATAAACATGTAAAGTGGTTGGAAGGAGGCAAGATAGATGGACCCTGGTATATATGTTTGCACTATATGTACAGAAATATGTACAAATAGGAGATGGAATCCAACAATAGAAAAGCAGACAAGCTCTAAGGAGTCCACCTATTTTTTGCGACTTTCCAAGGTTTCCTTGGGCAATTGAAACCTTACTTAAGTGGACACAAAACTCATGTTTATGCGGCAATTTAATTTTATTTCATTATTTATCTATGAAAATAAGCAGTTTAATATTTATCATGCATAGATAAGGGATTGAGGTAACATGAACAATAGTATTAAATTAAACTTTTATTTAAAATATATCACATAGGCAAATTTCTAATTTTTCACAAACTTATTTTTTCTGCAGTTCCATTTTTCGTTATTTTTTGGAACACAATTTCATGTTTATAGCCCAATTGAATTTTGTCTGTGCAACCGAATAATAATTACCATTAGTTATATACATACTTAATTTATGGATGACTTGCTAATCTTTTCTAAACATTTTAATTCAGATCCATTTTGATAGCCTCATAGGCAATTAGGCAAAAATATAGTACCGAGTGCACTTAAATCGACATTATTAATCATTTTCTGAACATAACAGCCAATACAGCGAATTCAATGAAATTGAAAAACCTATTAAAAGCACTCAATTCGTATTGATTGCGCAATTCGGGGGGTGGTGGGTGATGACTGGGTCTGGAAAATGGCAAAAAATATTATTAATTATGCAATGAAAAGGTAATCACTTCGCGAATTGGCTTTTCCGGCAGCATATAAAAAGAAGCAACATTTGCATTGTGCACCGCAAACATATAATCAAATTAATTCCAAATGAATTGGCCGCAAATTGGTTGCGGTGTGAAAAAGGTTTCACAGCTTTAATGTCCTTGGAAAAGTGCGGGAATTTAATAATGCCGCTTTACAGCAAACTGCGAGACACTAAGAAAGTTTCCCTGGCGAAAGTTTCAGCTGGCAAAAAAACTTTAAAGGCAAATGCAACTATGCAAATGTGCATAAATCGAAAGGCAGCCATCCGGCCGTACTTTCATCACCCCATAAATCATAGTATGAAACAGCTTAAAGGAGTTTCCGCGCTAGATAAATGACCCGATGCCAAACACGACCTCGTCCATAACGTTTATTGTTGGAGCTACAAATATAATTTGGCAAGTTCGCTTTTTTCCGCTCGTCTTTTCAATTTGCAAACAAACGAATGAGGAACGGACTTTTATCTATTGCAATGGCAAATAGTTGGCTGCCAGACTGCAATCAGCCTTTTCGGCCGGGCCAAAACGCTATTAGTATGCATGGGCTCGACATGCCGTCCCCCATATTCCACCAGAATTCGCTGCTGAATGTTTGTTTTCGATTCCATTTGTTTTCCCTCGACCACAGAGGACAGTTTGTGTGCGAGTGTCGCAGTCGAAGTCACGGCGAACAATCGAACACGGCGTATACGTAATATGCATACGAACTGCACACATATTTCAACGGCATCTCATGTAATTTCGTCTATGCAATTTGCAGGCCCAGAGCCTGCGGCCAAGTTCGTATACGGGCCACGGAGTGAAAGCGCCCACACAGGAGAAAATATTTACCTTGTAAACTCTTAAAATTTAAAAAGGGTAGAGGGCATATGCTAGAGGTCACCCTGTCAAGGCTTTTAAATTAACAACTTGTTCAACTACTAACAAGTTTTGCTTTGTCTTTGTTTAATTAGTAGCTAAAATAATCTATTATTGAAATAATTGGATTTATATTTGAGTATAATTAATGAAGTCTGTATTTCTCTCGAATACTATTCATTCAATAGAGTAATGTTGCACCAATTATATGTTCCTAAATATTTAGGCCTAATCATATGTTGTTTTCTTTATTATGCACTACAAAATTATTTATATTTATTATTTCTTAAATTGCAAATGATATGTACGTATTTATTCTGTAAAATGAAAATCTTAAGGTTTCTCAATCGTCTTGCCTAATTATAAATATAAATATTATAAAGATTTTTAACATTTTCTAATAATAGCTCTCCAAAATCTAAACTTTAATAATATTAATATTTTTAAATCGAAATTGCAAAATGACCTTCTTTCGGGCAGTGCACATTCCGGGGAAATACCAGAAAGCCCATGTACTGGCACAACCACGGCATTTAGTATTAGTTGTAGGCAACAAACAAATAATTTGCATGCCACCGTTGCACACGCGATCCGGAAAACGGAAAACGGGAGAACAGGAAAATGGGAAAATGGGTGATCGGGTGGCGGAATGTGGGGAATGATGCGACGTGGCGTAGCCGTAACCTTTAATTTGCAAATTATTTTGAAATGTTGCGGCACGGTAGTGTCAAGTGCATTTGTTTTGTTCGAAGTTGTGCAAACTGACGGTCAAAAGTGCGCGAAGGATGGGCACAGCTCATTAAAATTAATTTGACGCAACATGCCATCACATCGGCTTTAATATTAAAGATTTAAGATGGACAGTAGAAGGCCCTGACAGCTGATTAGTAAATCCCGGACTATGACGACTAAGAGCTGAGGGCCATGGTGCATAAAATTAGCTTACACGCATCACTGTCAAACTCGACGGACACTCATGCAGAAGGTCGTGGGAATGGATTAGGTGTTCGCCGGAGCAGACGGAATCCGGCTAATTACGAACGGAAACTGGTAAATTGGCAAGCCGTAAGGGCCACGGCCCAAAGCCAGAGCCAGGTAATTTCCATTTAAAGTGGAGTTTCCAAGTTAAAGGCAACGATCCCTTTCCGTTTATTTATTATTGCTTAATTGCTGCGCTGTCAGGCGACGTTTTCGGGCATTTGGCCATGATAAAGCTGGGTAAAATATACGCAATTAGACAGGACCAACATTCCGTCTGTCGTCTGGGCGGTGACAAATGAAGTTGCAGATTAAAGCCCCCAAAAATATATAAATATTCAATGCCCTGCTATGTACTATATATGTCTCCGCTATCGGGGTGCCATAAATAAGGGGCAACTGCTATCCAGGCTGAAAATAAATCAGGGACATTCCCGAAATAGAAGCCATCCCCATTTGAGATACTTACACTTGAGATACTGCTCGTTGCGGGCTATCACCTTCTCGGCATTCTTGCGGGCCAGAAAGAACCACTCGGAGGTGTTGCCCAGATAGTGGTACTCCATGGCCAGATCCTTGGCGAACACCGCTCCCAAATTCGGCGGCGGCAGTCGGTAGGCAAATGGACAGAAGAGTCCTGGCTGCGCAGGATGCTCGTTCCAATCGAAGCAATTTCCGGCCGCGAATATATCATCGTCGAACTCCACCATCGAGAGCACGGAGGCGTGCAGCAGGTTGACATCCTCCTGCACCGAGCGACCGGTGGTCTTGAAGATTCTGCCGGAGACAACAAGCAAGGCATACATCGGATATTAGTTGCAGGGCAGCGCAAAAATTGAATTTATGGCTCCGGCCTGGCCAGGAAATTGCATTTAAAATGCATGAGAATTTTGCGGCCTTCAAGTAACGAATATTCTATACTCTACCCTCACCTCGCCAGAATATTAAATTATATACGTTTGAAAGTAATTAGCTTTAATAAAAATGTGTTCACTTCTTGATTTTTATTCCAAAAATTGTTTGACAGGTTTTTAAAGCTTCATTTCAAATTTTAAAAATTATTTTAATATATGTACAGTATGTACGTACAGTCCCAACTAAGGGTCTCTATAAAAATAACATTTTAAGTTGCTGGCTTAATTTTTAGGTTCCTCAAGAATATTTAAAAATTGTATTATTAATCTTCTCCAAAATAACTGTGTTACAAAAAATAGTTAATCAGGTTCTTTAAGCATTATTTAAAATTTTTAAAACTACTTGAATGTAAATACATACTTATGTACAATACCGATGTACAGTGTACCAACTAAACTATAAATAAAAACGTTTTAAGTTCCCGAATTAAGTTATAACAAATTGAAGTCATGTTTTGTTGTTAAGTTCCTTAAGAATATTGACAAATTGAAATAATTAATCTTTTGTTAAAGAACTGATAAGTTTTTTTTTATTTTTGTTTGCAAAAGCAAATCCAAACTAACCCCTACATACATAATTATTTAAAAGTTATAAATGAAAACTTTTCAAAATCCTTTGTTTAATTTATGCCTAAATATATTTCTAAATTTTCCTTTCCAATCATTGAATAATTATCGAGAGGTCGTTAACCGAATTATTTCGACATTTTGTAGGCACGTAGCCCTGCTTAACCCAAAAAGACGCACAACCCTTTTGAATGGCAGGGCATGAATAACATAATAAGTTTTGTTGCAAGTCAAGCAGAGCGCCGAAAGTGGTTCAGTGGACCAGGCCCGGGAACCCCCCATAGAATTGGCTTCCTTTCATTTTTGTTGGGCTGTCATTTTTATTTTTATAACCCAGGCGGCTGGTAGCTTGAGTCTTGGGGGCAAGGAAAAGTGGGTGTTGGGGATGCTGGCTGTTACAAGTGCATACTTATAGGCGCGGCGCATTCAAGTCGCCTCAAACTGTGCTCAAGTGCGCTCCTGGCTTTCTATTGTCTGCGGCCCCAGCGCAGGATGCCTGCCGGCAGATCCTTCGTCCTTCCTTTCGCCACCATCTTGCTTCCTCGCAAATGGGTAAACGAGAAAATTACATTGAAGATTTCTGCTCGGGGTGAGGCCAAATTACCACCTCTTTCCTGTCTGCGTAATATTAATTAAATTGTTGCCTCAAGAGGGGGGCAGATGGAAAAAAAAGGGAAAAAAGCTCAGAGCTAAAAGAAAAAAAATTGTCACAGCATCGACTTCAATTCCATTTTCCAATACATTAGCCAGGAGCAATACAACAGAAGCTGCTTTTGCGAACAGAACTCTGGATCTTGTGACTCTCTCATGTAACGCGCCTGCTAATTGGGCGTGGCTCATTAATTCGCTGGCGGGCCTCATTTGTAAATGTCAAAGGCATTTTGTCAGCAGCCATCCTAACACCTACTATACTTACCACCCACTACCCACTACCCACCACCCACCACCCATCCAAATCCATGCGAGTGTCCAAGGCCGTGTCGGGGCTCAAAAGTCGCCTAATGATGATGACGGCGCCGACATTGTTCGCTGGTGATAATGCTGACTTAGCTGGGAGCTCGACATGGAGTTGACAGCTTTTTTCCACCAGCCTCCCATTATTTATGGCCAACACACATTTTTTCCAACATGGCCAATGATGAGTGCAAATACATTGCATTTGGCCTTAGCATAAAATAAAAGCTAAGCTTTTCAAGTTGCCTTTTTTCCTGTTTTTTAATGTTTCTATCAAAGCTTTCTTTCTAATTTAAAGTTATTTTAATTCCAAATGGAAAACATTCAAAGAAATTGAGTTTAAATTTGAAAAGCAAAAGAATTTCACATAACAAAACACATAACATTTTATCCAGCAAATTAACTTTGATGTATGTACTTGTTTACAGCATTACATATTTGGTTTATATATAATATTTTATTAATATTAATTAATTAATTAATTAACCTTATATTTGCATATTTTCCCTGCTGATAGATACTTTAAATTATAATTGTCCTGCTTAAATATAAATCGATTTCAGTTAATTTTCAAAACTATTTACTGTGTAATCCTGCAAGTCCCAGTTTCCCAATTAACATTCTCCACAGACAACTTGAACTGCTGGTGTGCTTATGCAGTTTGGGACGCTTACAGTTGCAGTCTTGCTGGTTTTCCGGCTTTTCCACCTTTCTCCACCCACTGTCCCCCCGGAGACGGGGTCCTAAAGTGTGCTAAAAACACTTTTCAGCACTTGAGTGCTGGGAAAGAGGTGAAAACAAGCGCAAAACAAGCTTCAGGTGCCGGTGCCCAGGACGAGAGATCCTGGAGTAAGTAACTCACTAAGTACTCGAAAGTGTTCCCTCCTCTCTTCTCCCTTTTGTCCTTTGTCTGCGTGTGCGTTTTTGGGGCAGTCGAGGGTTAACAGACCCGAAGGATTAAAGTCCTGCTTAAAGGCTTCCGACCTCCATAACAACCATCTATGTTGCGGTTGCTTGGGAATTTCTTTTGCCCCACCTGTGTTGTAATTATGCAACTGCATCGGAAAGTTGAATCTCCCTGACGTTTAATTAAAAATGGAAAAAGAAAGGAAACATGTTGGCCCATCACTGACCAGGCTAAAACTTTCCGCTTTTCCTTTCGCTTTTCCCGCCGGCAGCATTACAATTTATATCCGCTGCTTTGTCAAAATCCCCATCTTCCATGGGACTTGAGGTGGCTGTTTCGCTTATTTGTTTAGCACATGATGCCAGTCGGCCGAATAAAACGCGCATTAGAAACTTGAAGCGCCTTGAGAATGTTCGAAATGAAGGAAAGCTGCCTGGCGGCACTTAAGCCGATTTTTTTTCATTTTTTTTTTTGTTGTTATTTGACTTGAGAAGGTCGTTGCATGTCAACGAGGATGGGGCTTTCCAGCCGCTTTTCGGCGTCCCTCGGCCTCTTGTTAGCTGGTATTTGCATTCAAGTCGATGCCAAGGTCTCTATTGATTTTGAACAAGGCAAAAACAGCACGCAAGCCGAACAAATAATTTAATTGCCCAGCCATAAACAAGGAAATTAAATTCTATTATTTTGTGAGTGTGAACAAAAAATTAATTATGCTGGGAAAATGAAATGAAATTTGAAATTTGGGCACCTGGGAAAGGAGGATGTTCAGGACACACTGAGAGCCCTAGAGAGTTTTTCCCCATCTTCGCCGTGTCCTTTGGTTAAAGGCCTCAAGCATCCGTTGCTTTTGCCTTTCGACTCTGACTGCGTGTCGACATCTTAATTGAAAGCGAAATGCTCCGGTTTAATTATTCAAAAGCCAGGACACTTCGGCACACTCCTTGGCCAGGAAAGCAGCCTGGCTGAATGACTGAATGGCCATGATGGCCATGATGATGCCTTTTCGGGAACCCTCAGACGGCGGCGTCCCTTTTGTTTGTCTGAAGTTCGACTTGGGTGTCCTTTATTCGTTTGCCGGGTGCGCTTTTTAATGGCCCATAACGGTCAAGGCTTTTTGCCAATTTTAATTAGGCCATAATTAAATGATCAAACGGTCAGGCAAAGGCATAACTGGCAAATTGATAAGATATATATTTAGATATGATTCCCTACTAATTGACTTCTGCGTATTATGTTTTATAATATTGTGTGCATGGTTAGGTAGGTATATCCCCAAAAAGAAATAATTTCCCTGAGTAGCTATGCTTTATTTCATATCTCTTTCCTGACAAATAATCAAATTAATATAAGAAATGTGACATTTCTTGAAATATTTTTTTAAGAGAAGTTCTACCATATTATTTAATTAGTATTAAGCCAAGTAAAAGGCTCTAAAAGAAAAATAAAATCAAATGAAATGTATGGACAATTTGCCACGCAATTTTGTTACCCAATTTGACATGAAACACAAAAGATCAAAAGTTGGGCCAAAAAAGGGAAATCGCTGGCAACTCCTACGACGCTACAATGTGTGTTCAATTAGGAAACAGGAAAAGGAGTTCAATTAATTAAAAGTTACCCCATGTTTGCCCAGTTTGGTTGCCTGGTTTCTGCTCAGTTGGCTTGCGGCTAATTGAGACTCCAGGCACTTGTTGTTGACATGTTTATGCTGGCCATGGGAACCCCCTGCTTCTTTTTCTATTGTTCAAAAAATGCTTTTTGATTTAGTCCATTAATTGCTTTCAACTTGGTAACTTCTTTTCAACGTTCTTACCCAGCCCGATGATTATTATTGCAGGGCGCAAAGTTGGCAAACATTTTGGCCGAAAAAGTTTCCCTTTTTGATTTCCTGCCGCCGAGGATAATGAGTCGAGAGCTCGCGCCTTTCGGATCCTTGCAAAGACAAACTTTGGCCGCCTGTCTGCGGCCCTGTGTTCCGATCCAAATGTTTTTATGGCGAAAAAATAGACTCGGAAGAAAGAAACTCTGCGGCTGTGGCTTAAACGTTACGCATTCGCCAAGTGGGCCAGACACTTGAAAACGACATGGGCGAAAGACTCGTTTTTGGGGGGATACTCGACAAGTTTGTTAAGCTGTTAAGTTATGGCAACATGTGTTGCACAAAGCGCGGCAAAGCGATGCAGTCGTGTATTTTGTAAAGCCACCGAAAGAGGGTAACCAGCAGAAACATTCACAGACCATCTACCATAAGTTGAATCGCTCTTTGGCCCAACTAAATTGAGTTGGAACAGCGTTTAGCGACTAAACTTTCTACAGTCTTAGTTCAATTACTCAAACTTAGACAGTTTACAAATGGTTTGCTCTTCTCCAACTTCAATTAAATTCCAAAATTAATTTGCTGTAAAACTTATGCTTCAGAGAGATTAGAAACAATGTTATGCTTATATTGGATTGAGACATTCAGAATTACTGTTACTATAAACAAAGTTTTAGTATAATATTTATGTGATTGAAATGCTTACTTTAACTATTTATGTATACATTCATGTATGTCAAATTTTATAATTTCAGAACAATAGTTTCAAATGAGAAACGTTCAATAAGTACATTTTAAACAATGGAATTTGAAAAATGGCTTTTAAATAGTTAAACACTGTACGTTTGTTGTCAATTATAAACAAAATTAAGAAACAAAATTAAAATTAATAAATGAAAAAATAAAAATGATTTAATAAGCTCCTTGTTTATGTAGCTCTCGTAATTGTTGAAGGACCAAAGAAAGCCAGTTTTTTGGTACCACCTTCTTGCGAATAAATATTTAAAAAAATATTTCTAAATTTCTCGCATAATACCTAAAAACTTTAAACACATTTTCGAATATTTACCAATTTAAATATTTGGTTGGGCTTAGAGTTGTTTGACTGTAGTCTAGTAAAAAGAGTCAAAAGAGGGGAATCACCAGAGTCAGAGCCAGAAACACATGCATTTACATGCAACATCGCCAGGAGGTTGCAGACAAGGGCAGCATTCGCCGGCACAAGAGTCAAGCCCAGATGTGAGTGCTGAAATAAACCAGCTGGAAAAAGGGCCGTGATGCGGTGCTGCTATGTACTGCAGTGGTTCCACAGGAGCCACCCCCCTTTTCTCCCAGTGTGGGAGGGGACCCCATTCCGCTGGTGGCCTACAACGGCATGCATGTCCGCGTCCGCGTCAGTTTCAGTTGCAGTTGCAGTTTCAGTTGCGGCTTTCCAGGCGGGCGAAGAACGAAGAATCCACATTAGGATTGTTTTTTTGTTTTGTTGCGCAAAATGAAAACAATTTCCATTTCGGGACAAGACAACTGCATTCTGCAGCGGCGAACAATAAAAATAGCGGGAGCAATGGGTCGTGGGCGTGGCAGGTTGGAAAGGGGGCGGAATGTCGGCCGGGGCAAGGCAGCGTTATTAGCACCGCCCGCTGGGCAGAGCAGAGTCGAGTAAATCAAGCGGCACAAAATCCCAAAGCCAGGCACACTGCTAGAAGTCGACTGCAAAATGAAATTCAGTGACCTTGTTTTCTGCACTCGGAATAATATTATATACCTACGTCGTTTACTTAAAAAAAAACAATTTTTTAAGTTTTCAAGAAAGTATTTAAAGCCTGCTTAATTACTCATAAATTAAATTCTCTTAAAAAATGATGTTCAAAAAAATTATCATTTTGTAAAGTTCACAGGATTTGTAATTTGTATATCTCTCAAAAAGTGATATTTATTTAAAACTTTGAAAATTTAAACATCGCTGTAATACTTATCAAGATAATATTAAGAACTTGGTAATGACAAAAAGTGAAATGGCCAACAAAAAGAGTAAATAAATTAAAAAAAATACTTAAAATAAATTTCAATGAAGAAGTATTCGAAAAAAATTATCAACGATTAAAACTCAAAAAGTGAAAATAATTGATTTATGATCATAAGGTATATCACTACTTTAGAATAAAAGAAAATATTTTTAAGCATCTATAAAGCTTAGATTGTTGTTATATTTTTTTCTCAGTAGCAAACTGTTTCCCGAACATTGACTTGCACAGATATTTGTTTGCTTCCGTTTGGAGAACTTTTGAAGGATGTTGACAATGACGCAGGGAAGGGTGCAGGATCCTCCTTTGGTGTGTCCTTGCTGCTGTCGCGTTTTATTGCCGCTGGCAATTGGAAACTGCATCGCTTATGCAGATTTCAATTTCGATTTGTTGTATGAACCGAACGCAAATGCCACTCGAATTGCAAAGGCATTGAGAAAACAAGAGACGTCGAGGCAATAAATTATTTGCCAAGTTTATCGCCGAACTTCCGCAGAAAAACAGAATCATTGCCTGGCAAATAAGTGAGATGTGCACTTGAAACCAAGCTAGTCGCAACAAAAGAGTTTGGATGGCAAAGAACAAGCAGCAACCGGAAACTCAATTTCAGGACAAGCCAAGTTAGCAGGTCTTTCGGCTTTCACTCACGATTCTCACCTCTCTCCGCGACGACAACACATTTAAGTACTTAAAAGTTTTCCGATTCCATCCGCCATGTTGCCACACTTTAGTGCTGAAGTCGCTTTTCCTTTCTGTTTGCCGTCTACACTTTGGCGGCGTGAACGGAAACTAACGAAAAGTGGCCAAGGCAAGAAAACAATTGAAGCTCGTAATTTCAACTTGAATTGATATTGTTTTCCTGACTGCCATTCAGCCCTAGCCCTCTCCCTTTTCACTCACCTTCAATCCCAGCCATTTCTTATGGCCCCCGACCCAGCCTTTGTTTTCCTTAAATGTTATTCTTGTTTTTTTGTTTGCGCAACAAAGTAAACGGGAAATGCCCAAACACAAAAAGTGAGCAGGAACAAGACATGGCAGGATACCGGGCTGTCGGGGCGATAACAATGTATCACAAAACAATAACTTCAATTAGTATCTATCTGTGTAGTCCGGCCCCCCTTGTAATTTCCTTTTTCACCCCGGCGAAAAGGAAAAGTTTTCCGGCCACCCTTGATTATGTTAACACAAGCAAAAACTGATTAAAACAGCCACTGATTAGCAGCCGTTGCTCTTGAAATTATGAACCAGGGACTAACAGTATCTGCCATCAGATTTATGGAAGCCCGACTGGATAAATCAGAGGAGGCTTCGGCTTTAAGTCAGTCCCAGAGACCACATTGCCTATTGAACAAATAATGAAAACAAATGCCTGACATATGACACTAAATGCAATAATGTTGATCCCGAACCGGATCCATGGCCGGGTACAATTTAATTTATTAACGTTCGACGTTAACGGCAGTGAGGCTTTGACATTTTATTGCTCCCCAGGCCAAGTTACAGCATTTTCCGCTTTCCTACTTTCCCATTTTCCTCGCCTCTCCACGCTTTTCCATGCTTTTCCTTCTGTCACTTAATTTGTCAAACTGCTGGTCGGTTGGGTTAATTGTTTATTTGTGCCTTTTATTGACAAGCGGCATTTATTCTTTAGATTCGGCAACTTGTAGTCATGTCGTCGTTTTGCTGTGGCTTTTAACAAATGATTTTTTTATCGCGAACAAATGGCTTTGATTTTCTCCTGCAATCAGTGGGCAGAAAGTTGTTATCTTTGCTGGCAAATTATGTCATTGGAATTTTGTGACTCCTGGGACTCGACTAAAACACATCCTTCAGACATTATCCAATGGCCTGTTGCACGAATCCAACCACACCCACATTTCGTTAGTCTTTTCTATAAAAAAAACTTCTTTTTTTTACCGATTTTTGCCACAAACCGAAAAACACAGCGAAGGCACTAAAGAAAAGCAGAAAGCCATAAATTTCAGGTCTAATGTCTGCGAGGAGCACATACACATCGGAATTGACACACAGGATGCGTGTATGCAGGCAAGGACATTGGGATATTGGGACTTTGGCCGTTGGACTTCAGACCCTCATATGCGACATCTGATGAAACTTTGTTTTTATTGTGCTACTGCTGCTGCTGCTGTTGGGAAGCAAAAAACAAAAAGCAGAGCTCAACAAATGTTGGCCAAACTTTTGAGCGGGGCGTTTATCCAGATACATGATACTGCCAAATCGATGATGGAACCGGAATGGAAACGAGAAAACAAAGCACCATATCGAGTTGCTCGGCTTGGACAGCTGAAAATTCCAAGAAAAACAAAATGAATGGCCATCGTTCAGGTAAATCAATGTCTTGTGTTCTTCGTTTTGCTTTTGGCCACAAGAATGCCGCAAACTTTTTTTTTTCTGGCCACGCCCACTCCGCTAAGTAATTGAACTTTTATCAAAAAATTTCATGAAGCCAAGTAAACGCATGGACTGAGTTTAAAATGGGGAAGGGGGGGGAAATTGGAGGAAAATCGTAGGAAAACCGGAGGTAGTTTTGCCAACTATGGCCCAACTTTCCGCAACAGGAAAAACACATTATGCTTGCTGTTGACAAAGGCCACTTGCCAATCTGGATGAGCAGAAATTGGCGAATAACTACTGAAACGTGAACGCCGAACGATGAGCCATGGAGGTTGGAAAATGGAAAATGCCGAGGAAATCACGGGCTCCCTGATACTTATTTTGGTTTTTTTTCTCAGCTGAATAGACAGTCCTCAAATATTTTCTCTTTCTTTTGTTATCGTTAGCAACAATACCTTTTTAACAAAATTGGTATTCCTTAAAATATATAGGAATAATTATAATAAATTAAATTAGAAAAATAAAACAACTCTAGTCGTCAGTTGCTGTAAAATTTAAAAACATATACCCTTACTGGCAATTTTGTATAAATAAGAATAAATACTTAACTTACATTCGTATAATTTCAAATACAAGTCTTCAAAATATTATTATATTTTTATATAGAGTGAAAGGAAAATGTATAATTCTTTGATTAATCCTAACTTTAAAGTGTAATTCGAATTTAACTATATTAGAATGTGATTAAATACCAATGTTAAAAATGTTTGTTTTTCCTTTCATTTTATTATTGAACAAAGTTGTTTAACAACTCTTTTTATTTTCTTTATATTCATAAAAACTTCGGTTTCATGTACATTGTCAACTGTCACACCCTGGCACTTTCAGATTTCGTGTGAAACTTGTATTGTATAAATTTCAAAAAGGGAACCCTTTCAAAGGGGGATTTACCATGCCGGTCGTCAAGTTGCAGTCCTCCGATGGTGAAATTTTTCACACCGATTCCGAAACTGCGAAGTGCTCGAGTACCATTAAGACCCTGCTGGATGATTGCGGACTGGAGGCGGAGAATGACCCACTTATTCCGCTGCCCAATGTGAACTCGGCCATTCTGAAAAAGGTCCTGATTTGGGCCAAGCACCATCGGAACGATAATGAAGAGGAAACTGGTGGGGAGTCAGCCAGGCCAATGGTGGATATCAGTGCCTGGGATGCCGAGTTCTTGGCCATGGATCAGGGCACTCTCTTCGAGCTCATCCTGGCGGCCAACTACTTGGACATCCGGAGTCTACTGAATGCCGCCTGCATGACGGTGGCCAACATGATCAAGGGTCACACGGCGGAGGAGATTCGCAAGACCTTCCACATCACCAACGATTTCTCGCCCTCCGAAGAGGATTTACTGCCCAAGGAACCCGAAGTCCCAGAGGAAGATGAGGCCACGGAGTATGGCGATATTTAAATACGGAGTGAATGTAACACCACAATAAACATTATAAAAGATGTGATAAAATTCAGAATTGAATGCTCTTTTTGTTTTTTTCATTTTGATATAATAGAAAGATATTTTAAATATATTTAAGAACCCGGAGTATATACATTTAACATTGTCATACTTTTTTTCATTAGCAAGCTATTCCTCTTTTTCTGTTAATAAGCCAAAATTAACTAGATCAAATTTTCATTTTATTATATTGTCTTTTTTTTTGTGTACGATATGTAAATTGAGAGTTTTTGTGGCCAACGAATTTGTCTTTTAAATTAATGAACAACATTTTTTGGCTACGAATTTACAAAACAGATAAAAGCTAGTATTCACTTAAGATCCAAGAAAAATAGTAAATTTAATATGCGAATTGAATGTTATTTTAATTGTCCTTAACATAACCTTGAGATGCATAGTATACTATTACTTTACCCCCAACTGTTCATACATATATACTTCGGAATCCATTTCCATTTCCACTTGCATTTACCGGCCGTCTGGCCGAAAAGTTTCGATTGGAAAAGTTTGGCATGTGAATAATATGATGTGGAGCGGGTCGGAAAACTTTGTCCTGACGTTCACTCACCTGGTCAGCATATTGGCGCGATTGACGGCCACCTCGGCCTCCACGCGGAACCTGTCCTGGGCATACCGATCGACCACGCCCTCGCCGAGATTGAGGGAGGTGCCGGCCACGCAGTTGGAGCCCATCAGGTGCTGCTGCTCAATGTACTGCAGGAACTTGGACACCAGGTCGATCTTGCTGTCGCGGGCATTGATCACATCGGCGGTTATCTGGCTGGACACCTCCTCCTCCTCGCCCTCCACATCGCCGATGACCAGCTGCTTGGTCTTGTCGTCGATCTGCACATCCGGTGGATAGCCATCGTCCATGGTCACCTCGGAGGTGTCCATTCCCGGTTCGGAGTCGCCATCGCCATCGGCATCGCTGTCGAAGCTGATCTGTTTCACCTCCATGCTGGCTGCCCCCTGGGAACGTGCCTCCGCCTCGGGTTCATTGAGCACTGACCTCTGAACCTGACCCTCGTCCATCCACTCAGTAGTGCCGAGGCTATCGTTCAGCAACTGCAGCTTGCCAAATGGCTGCAGTTCCTCCTCATTGTCCAGGGCATTGGTTTCGTAATCCGATTCCGAGGAGGAGTCACGGCTTCGCGCCCAAGTGCCATTCACTGGCAGCAGCCGGGTTCTGGTTATTTTGGGCTTGGCCGTGGTCGAAACTGGTGCCTCCTCCTCTTCGTCCTCCTCCTCCCCCTCCCCCTCCTCCTCCTCGAGGGTATCATCCTCCTGGTAATTGGCCTCATCACGCACAAATTGGCGAGCCTGCTGGACTGCGATATCCGGATCACCTGTTGGAAACGCCGTGGCGAATGAACTCTCCAGCTCAATCTCATCGGCCAGCTGCATGACCTCGCTGAGAGCCGTATCCTCGGTGTCCTCGCTGGGAGGACGACCCTGCAGATGCTCGGCCTCGGCCAAACTGCGCTGGTTCTTTGCCGGATGGAGGAGACCCAGACTTTTGTCCACACTTTTGCGTATACTCTCGTTGATTTTCTTCTTGTGCAATTTGCGGATTTTATGCGTGACGGGTGGCTGGGATGTGCCACCCGCCCCCGGATGCTGGGTGGGCGTGACCAGAAGGAGGCGGGTGATGCCACCGCTCCCAGTGCTGTTTGTGCTGCCGTGAAGGAAATGCGAGCGAGACCGCCCGTGGCGAATGTTGAAGCTGTCTCCCGTCATCAGGGCATCCGCTTCCGTTTTGATGCGGTTCCGAGGGGATCCTCCAGCTGCTCCGGCTCCTCCTCCTCCTCCTGCTCCTGTATTTGCGTCTGCCTCCAATTGCGCCTGACCTTGCATCACCCACAAACTCATCACAAACAGCAGCTGCACAGCCTGCGGCATCCACATCCACATCCGCATCCTGGGGCTCCGGCTATTCTTTTCGAGGTCGCTTTGAGTATACCCCTATATCGTTCAGTTACTCGCCTTGATTGCCTGATCAGCACTTTGTGTGTTGTGGCTATCGATTGGCAACGAATGGTGCTGCAACTGCTACTGGTGCTGGTGCTGCTTAGCTGCTACCTTTTGGCATTTTCAGTTGTCAAAGACCAGGGCGAACACATCACGCATCCGCACCGTGCCCGGCCGCTGATTCGGGCGGATGGACAAGGGCGCCGCTGTCGCTCTGCCACTGGCACCCATTTCCCCGTTCCACCCACTCGCACTCCTTATGCCCTAATTTGGATGCTGAAATGGAAAAGAGAAAATCCAGTGATTACCTTGCGAAAGTAAGGAATATGGTGATTGCTGCAGGACGAGCTTTGATGATAGACACGCCAAGATGATTAACAGGAAAATATGAAACCGAAAAAAAGTAAAATTCTACATTTAAAACAAGTTTGGTGGTTTAAATTAATATATTCAGATGGTTACGATTTTCAATGTTTTAATGTTTATCTTTTAATACTTATGTCAATATATTTGGCACTTTGTTTTGGGTAAGAACCACAATAATTGTTTTGTAAACCTAACTACAGTTTCAATAAGGCTTTTATAAACCATAATTTTTTTGATTTCCAACATTTTAAGTATTATGATTGTGTCATACATTTAAAGCATATGAAAAGTCACATTGAAATCGCCATGGTTTTTGTGATTTTTGACACTCGGGCAATTTTCTTCCTGTGTATGCAGCAAAACCTTATTAAGAATCTCAGATATCGACATTCCTTTTGGGAATTCTTCCTTTCCCACATTTTTTTCCACTATTTTGCGTAGTTTTCTTTCATTATTTTCCCTCTTACGGTTACATTTTCTTTATGCTCTTTGCTGCGTTCCTTTTTGTTGAATGTAAGCTGAAATTTTTCTCTGAATTATGTGATTTTTGTGCTCTTGCCTTGAACGAAAATGAAGGTCGAGCACAGTTTTTCTAAATTCTGAGAAGGCAACTAAGCGTAATCGTGGGGATCTGAACCACAAAAACATCAGAGGCAACCGAAAGTCATACTCTCAAATTCGTTTAAGGGCGGCAATTAAAAATTTCCACACCCACGCAGCGGAAAAAACAACACAAATAAATAATTGTTTCCCCAAGAGTCTTTGAGTGTGAGAATGTGAAAATTGCGCATACGCCGCGTGGCACGGCTGCATTGTGAAAAGCAAGAGCTTGTAGCACGCAAATTAAACGCAATTCTTAAGAAGTGCGCTTTGATTGTCAGCTGGGGGATTCCGGGCAACTAAGGCAGCCAAGTGAACATAAATAAAAGTGTACGGCCACAGCTCGCATAAATATTATGGCGCTAACAAATTATATGCCATTTAAATGTAATACTAATTCTGAAAAGGAAATCCACTTTGGCGGGTCCAGATTTCAGAAGCTGAACGTCGTTGAGCAGAGCATAAACATTTTATACTCCGCACAAAGGCACATACATATATAGTAGTATACTATGTATCTCAGACACAGGCAGCTCCAGTTCTAATTTCGAATTTTATGAGCCATAAAAATTTCTCCAAGGCGAGACCAAACATCAACAGACAAACAACAAACACAGTGGCAACAATGGATTTGAGGTTGGGGCAAGGAGAAAGTAGAGATATGTGGGTGGGTTCTCGGCGAGAAAGTGGGTATAATGTCCATGGCAGCAAGAGTAATTGACACTCCGGCCACAAGGAGGTGTGACTCTCACTTTTGAACTTCGGATCATGCGGCACATTATATATGGTTAGTGCAGAATCAGCTGCAGTTTATGGAAAACCAAAGTTTTAATTTATTCTAAGCCCGTTTTTCAAAACTTTTATGTAGGTTAATGTTAGCTTTAGACTGATTCAAAGCCAACTATTTTCGTAAGCTCTTTTTTTCACAAAAATGTATATCAGCAAAAGCTCAAGCAAACACCAAATATATTTCAATTTAAAATTTGTATTTCTCTGACAGAAACTACACTAAATATCTTGAATATTGCTAAATGCTTTGTATATTTTGACTTTTGTTATTTTTTGTACTTTAAAATAATCACTGAATACAATAATTTTGTAGCTTATAATATTCATTAGAATGATAAATATAAAACACTAAACACAAAAATCAACACTAAAATAATTTTTTTCAAACATTAACCGTTTTATAAAATATGATTTAATTTTTTTCCCAATAATATTTGCCTTGAATAAATTTATCCACGTTTTTCTTTACTTAAACCTCGCATAAACTTAGTTTCTGAGTTGTACTTTTTCCGCTCACACAGCGCAATACAAATGTTCATGAATTTTGTATTTGCAAGTGTCGCGGCTTGGAAATGGTGGGGACATCCAATCGGACAATAAATAAACAATTGACATCCTCGGGGCGTGAGGTTGCCAGTATCTATTATTCATAAATGCCACAGCAAGTCAAAGGGGTGCGCCAACTAGAAAAGGACATCTAAATCGGGGTCTTTTTCTTTTTTGCTCGGGGGCTTTACTGTCGGGCAATTGGAAATGACATCTCTGGAGAGAAGAAGGCCAAAGTTTGATTCAGGTTCCGGACTTCGGTTGGCCAGCGAGTGACTCTTCCACCGACATGGCTAATGCATTACGACAAACGATCGGGCAGCGAGGGGTTAACGGTGGCATTCTCATGCACTTAACCCATGACACCCAACCACCCGGCTCAGCATGCGGGCAGTTGTGAACTCGGTGACAGCTCAACTTTCTTTCTCTTTTTCCAGCACCCACCACAGCGCAATCCTTCGTCACAGGTGAGTGGCTGCTGGTGCAGGTAACTGGAGCCCCTTTCCACCCGACCTTTGACCTCCACACATGGACACGTGGAATGTTTCCAAACTAACAATCCAATTTCCAGCAGAAAGTCATTGCATTTGCGTCAGGCAGTTAAAGTGTCCTCACTCCGATTAATGCCCCAGGCAAGTTTAAAGTAATGGGATTGCCAAAACTAGAAGGCTCGGACTTGCATTCTGTATGGAAAATAAATATTTTCAAATACCAAATTAATAATTTTTTATATTATTTTTAAGCTTTATATATTCACAAGCTTAAATCTTCATTTAAAGACACATTTAAAATCAAATGCGAATTGAAATGGGGATACAATTTTCTTAGTTTAAAGTTTGAAATATTTTTTTTTAAAGATTTAAGTTTGCCAACAATAAAAATAGTAAACACTGTTACCAACAAATTGGCTTGGTATTTTGCAAAAGCCATTATCTTGATTACTTTATTACGAATAGAATAATGTGTATTGTGTACAGCCTCAGCAAACCTTTAATTTCTTTCTGTGTGTCACCCAAAACTAAAGCTTACACAATTTCGAATTTTTTGCGCTGCTTTCCCATAACCATTTACCCAGGACCCGGCACATCTTAGTCTCAGTTTTTCCCTCTTTTCCACTCCTGAAAATTTATGCAAACACATTAACAAACTCGACGCATTTGCTTTGCATGAGCGAAACACTACGAATGTGTGCGAGGGTCCTTGTTGCTGCCGGTGACAAAGTTGGAGCGTTAAATGAAATTCGGGTAATTTTTCTGTCGTTGCCAAAGAAAGAATGAAATGTCTTTTGCCAAAATAGCAAAAGAAACGGAAGCGGAACAAAACCCGTCAAAAAGAAGATTCAAATAACGCAGGTGAATTTCAGCTGTTCGAAGCTTTTGATACTCTTAAAGTTGTGCTTTTTATATTGCATGCATAATGGGCTTACAAACATTTGAACACTAAAATATCACAACAGTTGTGACGTTAAAATTTAAACATAAGTACATACCGAAAAAGAAAATTAAAAATATGTCAGTAAAAATCGAGAGTGTAGTATATTTCATAAACATTCTCAAACTGTTAAACAAATGTTTATCTAGCATCTAAATTAATTAGTATGCCAACTTATTTTTTTTTTGTTCTATAAACATTTAATGTGTTTTTAATGGAACAGATATATTTAGAGTAAAAGAAATTGCATCCAAAAAAACTAGGCTTTTTAAGTAAATGATATTGAATTAATTTAAGTCTCGAAATAACTCGTTGGAACTTTTAAATGTAATTTTATTATGTGGGTAATTTATTGTTTATTCCTGTTAGAGCTGCTGCTTATTACTTTAATTTAAATTTTCTATACTAGCTGGTGCTTATAGTTACCACACCTTTTGGGAAGGGTATTGCAAGAGGTTGTAATGGAAATGGCGGCTCGTCACCTTCTGCTCCTTTTTGTCCCCGTCGTCAACTCATCAGCAGGACCACCTTTCTTAGGTAATTCACATTATGTGTCGGCGACGGCGTCAAAAAAAAAAAAAAAAAAAAACAGAAAGCAACAAACAAAAAAGCTCCAAGGAAAGAATAAGAAAAAATGACATTTGACTTTTAAATTGGATAATTTTTTCTGGCTGCCTGGCTGGTTGCCAATCAACGGGTGTAGCCAGAAAACAGTCTGTCTGCTGGCATTGCCTCCAAATGATATAAAATGCAATGTAATTGATTTCGATAAGAAATTGATAAATACTAGACAAAAGAGACTGGTTATATTTTTTCATTTTGATTTGACAACACCGCCTGCACATGCATCAGTGCTCCTATGTGTGATACCAGAAAGATGCTGCCAATTTGCATACAAATGATGCAGAAAACTCACTTCACACCGACACTCATTCTGGGGTGTGTTCTTTACAGCCACTAATACTAGCTACAAAAATCACATAAAACGCAAGCAAATTGCTCAGATTATGGGCCACTTGGGCTTGACTTTCCCGGCTTTCCCAGCTTTTCTTTCGATTTTACCCACCAACTGAGGTGCTGTGTGGGCTGCGTTTTTATGAGCTGGCAAACATGCTTTGAAAATTTATGAAAACAGAAATTGCAAAAGCAGTCAGCCAGCAGTCGCATTTCTGCGGAAAGAAATTCTTGTTTTCTTTTGACGGAGAGCTGCTTCCTTCATTAGCTTCCATTTGTGGGAATAACCGGAGGTTCTTTTCAGCAGAATTCGGAAGTATTTCTTTATTTATTGGTTTGTCTGTCTGCTATTCTAGGTATTGTATTTTTAAGCGTTGAATATGGAAATGGAAGCACCGGCACATTGTTTTGATTCATAAGTAATTCATTCGGGTAAAGTATGTCAATAATATTTGGCTACTTGGTTTACAACATAGTATAATAAATATAAATATATAAAAATAAATATTCAGTGCCTTAATTTTACAACTTTTTCCATTTTTGTTTTGGATTTTTAAACTTTTACGTTCAGTTTATTCATTTCCCACACT